TTTACAGACCTTCGCCATATAACGGGAATATTGCTGAGTGCTGCGTTAAACAACAAACCAACCAACCAGTATCACTATTTCTTGCATTTATGGGTGAAAATGGATTAGGTGGATTTTTTGCGTCAACTATTTCAAATCTGATTTTTAAAAAAGCTCAGGTGGCAAATGGTTCTAGGGTATTTATGATAACAGAATGGAGATTATGCACAGGGTAATTGAGGATGATTCTTAAAATTTTGAGGAAGCAAGTTTTAAACTCAAAGTAACCTATGATGTCACAATGGTCTGCAAAGCATTGTGATGCGATTTTATTTTAGCTATGTCTCCTCAGCGATATCTCCTGTGAAACTTTGAAAGCCAGTTTTGGATGATACTTTGTTCGTTTAACGCCACACTCAACAATTATATTAGTCCAGCTATGTGACAGTGGTCTGTAAATGATCCAGTCTGGACCAGAGAAACCATTGATTGACATCATGAGCACTGATCTAAGGGATAGGGATGCTATAACATGCAAAGTCAGCAAGTCTGACCATCCGTTCCATTTTGTGGCCTTTTATCACAAGCATTGGTTACTAACCAAGTCTAGTTCCTTATGAAAACAGCAAAAGAGAAAAAGAACTACAATTATTTTAAAGAAATGACTTAGTGTTAGTCCAAGGTTACAAGGGACCTATGAGTATTCTTACCCAAAATGAATGGACCAAATGTGTTTTTTTATGATTAATCTTATGTCCTTTGTTGCTAAAGATTAGAATGTAGTACAGCGAAACATCCTAAGTTTGGACCCTGGAAACCACCTTTCAGAGAATTACTGTTCAGGGTCCCAGTCCACCAACAATTGTAGCGTTACAAGCTGTCGTAACTACATAGTTTATCATAGGCTTACAAATATGGCTATGAACACTTTGTGGATCAGGCCCCAGAAAATATACTGCCATATCTTTTCAAAGGGACACTATTCCATACAAATAATTCTTTAATCCTTAGGCAATAGATTTGTGTTGCATACATTTAAAAATCATTAATACTTTTATGAAACTTGGTGAGTTTTTTTAATAGAATGCAAATGTATAACAGTGGATTTGAAACTAATAATAATGAGATCTGCAGGAAGATAGAATCGCTGGAACTTGAGAAGAGGTAACGCTGCTTTGAGGGTGTGTAACTGTTCATTAGTTGGACATGAAGTGCTTCATTTATCATATGGTTTATTTAGGGAGTAATTACTTTTCTGTCATTCTGTATTTTTAGCACCCTTCTGTAACTGGCTGTAGTTTGTCATCTTCAAGTCATTGCTTGTGATAGGTGGTAACAGAGAGACCAATTATTCCAGGCTCTCCGTACTCAGCTAACACAGGAGGTAGAGAATGGATGGTGACTACAAGTTCACCTCAGAGATTAATTAGGGAAGTGTCTTCTTTCCTGGGAATATGCTGAAACAACTCACTCTCGGCACTCACCCATATTGTGATAACACAGACTCTTGAAAGCAAGAACTTGTCCTCACATGGAGGAGACATTTAACATGGCATTGGGTGAGTGCTACAATGTTACGACCATGTCAGGGAATAACTGATAAAGCCATGGAATAACGACGATACGCAACGTTACTAAGAATATAGGGAGTAAATGATGATGTATGGTGTTAACTGAATACTATATTAACATGGTTTGGAGACCGAACTCATCCCGATGTACCAGGAATTAGCATAGTATAACCAGGGTATTTTGGAAATAAGTGGCCGAGGTAGAAGGGTAGCATACCTGACACCTACGGTTACAATAGTCTATGGCCACATGTTCAGAAATGTTATTTACAATCCATGTACAAACCTCAGAAGACATCTATTTCTAATCGTGGAATATGTCTTTTTATACCATACCTTAGTGATGCATGATGCAGTGAGTGTATTGTAAGTAGCAACATTTTGATTTCCAAGATAGCTAATTACAAAAATATCAAAGCCAGTGTATTGCACCTGCTGAAAATGTGACCAGTTGTCCCAGGAGATGAGTATACAGCTAATTTAGAAATAATCACTGCAGTCTGTGACTTCAGCTACTAGTCTGTACCCCAGGCCCAAGGAAATAAATTACAACATGAATCTAGTCTAGTATGATTTTGCTTGTCCTGAAATTGTTCTGGGCTCCGTTTGGATTTGATTTCTATTTTGTAGAAATATATTTTTAAGTAGGATAACTTTATTTTGGGGACTAAATGTTAGTCTTCCACTTTTTTTAAGCCCAAATCTAGCAAAATGCTGTTGATCTAGTAAGCCCAGCTAATTAAAGTCCATATACTAACCCTAAAATTGACTGAAAATGATGTTGCAAGCCATGTAAGAGACTCAATAGCTTTTGGGCACAGACTGTCACAGTATATCAATTGATTCAATTACATAGTTGGTAATGTAATACGTGTAGTACTACTGTTTTTATATAAATTACTTTAATAAGCATGCATGGTACTATAAATTATGAAGATTTGTTCCTTTTTACAGAGTGTACCAATATCATGATTAAGGATTGTTAGTAGAAGTTATTCTCTTTCTTGGTCATATATAAAACCAGACATGTCATAGTGTTCCTCTGATGGAACTATCCAAAAACCTTGAAGATCTTTATATTTTTACCAGCTCATCTATCAAGAACTAGCATCAGAAAGGTAATTATGTATGCAAACAAACAATTATATACGCATGGTCGTAATGTGTATTTTTTTCTTCAGGATTAGTGTGGTATGTGTGTTGCCAGGCTGCACCAGCTGCCAAGCATTCCCTGGCCGGCCCATACAGACTGAAGTCTCCATCAGCTCCCATTTCTATTGGTCTCTGTCACTACCAATAGGTTCATTAAAAACACTCTGTCTCTTCCAATTGCTGGTTTCGAGCTGCGGGTGACAGCCACATGCTTCTGTTCAAGTTCTTTTGCCTGGGAGTTTTGTCAAGGGTGTTAGAGAGAAGCCTCACAGACTATACCACTGGTTAATGTTGCACACACTCTGCAGGCTGCCCGATCACACATTGTTGGAATTAATCATTCATACTCCTTTGTGAGACAGTTGTGAGATCTTCTGATTCAGAAAACACTTCGGTGAACACATATGCTTTAGGGATTGATTTGGGGGCCTGTTTCAAGGTTCCAGATGATTTTTTATGATTTAGAGGCATTGAGTTGTACTCATCATTTACATTGGGTATTGATAGTTTTCTTTGCATATTCTATATGTTTTAACTCCTTGGGTCAGCTTATTGTGTATTTTTACACCAATGAGGAGAAATATATTTTTTTAAATTCTACTTAAGATGCTTTTTCAGGTGCCTTTAAATTTGGATCTGGTCATGTCTGCCCCATGTGTGTAACATGTCTCACAACTCGCAACAAAACATACATGACTATTAACAACAAGAGGGTCATTTTTGTTCATTATTCACTGCAGTAATTCATGTATGTGTGATGTGTGATACCTGTATGCATACAGCTGTGAAGAAATACATGTAAGCAAGTTAAAAAGGATACTTTTATAACTGGGTAATTATGCAGAGTTTTGTTACACTTTGGGGGTTTTCATTTCTCATGTGTTTTTGTACACAAGCAACTCAAAATTAAAAGTGATTTATTTTGCATGTGTTATGCAAATACACAGCTTGCCTGGCTGTCTGTATGGTCAACATATGAGGTAGAAAGTGCTTTGAAAAGAGGAATGTAAGTCAGGGGACATGAACTAAACCGGATGTTTTCGAGTACTATTGCACCAAACTTAGACTAACATATAGTCCCAGAAATAAAGATATCTTATTTAAAAATATATATCTGCAAATTTTAAAAAAAATAATCCAACTAGAGCCCAGAACAATGCTTAATTTCTCCTACAGCTGAAGTAATCCGGACTTGCCAAATCATTCTAGACTTGGTCGGATTCCTTTGTGGTTTGTTCTCAAGAGTCTGGGAGACAGACTACAGCAAACTATAAGGACCCTGGGGCACCCCTTATTTTGTGACAGTACTAAGTGTGTACACTTGCCTATAAGAACTAGATAGTAGATAGTGAAAGCAGTGTTATTGATTATGGGGGTCCTGGGGCTTTGTGAGCTCTGGCTATGGCATTTGTTTAATCTAAAAACTCAGTACTTCTTTAATATTTAATGTTCGGATTATGATAAGAAGCTCTTGATATTTTCCTAAATGTTTTTACATTTAGAGAGTGTATTTTGTGATAAGGGATCAAAAGTTTTTATTTTGCTGGTATAGATGTTCCGTTGATAGGTTTTGATTGATTTGTTCTCCTTTATCACTTATCGAGCGTAATAATTGATTTTTGTGGAAAAAAGCTGTTTGTTATGCAATGATTATTTCAGGTGTTCAACCATTCTCTCAGTGTGACTATATGAAAGAAAGCCTTACTGCACTCAAGATTAAGAGGCAATAATCATGATGAATAAGATTGTTTTTGAGATCCTTATATTAAGAAGAGCAGATCTATACTGTATATGAAAAGAATTAATAATAATATATATATGTAAAAAGAAATTAATCAATCTGTGATAGACTGCAAGATAATTATTATGACCAATGTTTGTTGATGTTTATATCACAACCATTCCAAATATCACAAATTGATATTACCTGTGAAGATCCGTGGTAGAATAGGCTTCAGCAACCCATGCTTGCCGTAAAAGGCGACTATACTTGTCGTAAAAAGCAACTAACAGGATCGGGTGGTCAGGCTCGCTGACTTGGTTGATGCATGTCATCGTATCCCAATTGCGTAGATCGATACTCATGATGTCAATCACTAGAATGTCTGGTCCGGACTCGATTATTTACAGACCATCATGTAGCTGGAATATTGCTGAGTGCGGCGTTAAACAACAAGAATCATCATCATCATCATCATCGCAAATGGATATTTTGCACATTCCACACTTTCAGTAGGCTTCAGGAATAAAACTAAAGTGTTGCCGCGTATTTAAAGCATTCATGTTTGTTGATTCCAGAGAGGAAGCCGATCTTGTGAGGGTAGTGAGATCTCTATCAGCGATTCAACAGAAGAACGAAGCAGTCTTGTCCAGACTAGAGAAGGAAGCATTGTCTGTTGTGACAAAAAAGTTCCCTTGGTTACCTAAAAACAACACATTACCAAATTATCTTCTGAACAGTGGTTCTCATACAGACAATGATTACAAATACAGAGATGCTAATATAGCATTTATTCACTACCCTAGAGCAGGGGGATACAGAGTCATTGAATGTTTAAGGGAAATATCTATTAAGAAACATATCGCAATGTCACCACTTATGACGAGTAAAAATCGACTCCTATGGGAACGTGGTGAGGACAATTTGGAGAAATTCCGCAATCGGTTAAAATTTCACTCTGGGAGATATGTGTTCGGCGTCTGTGAAAAGGTGAACAGCCCTTGTTCCTACTTTCTTCTTCTACGGGAGCCTATGCAGCAAGCCATATCTAGTTATGAATATTGCAAAGAGACTTATGAAGACGAAATATGCCAGGGGTTTAATGCCAATAAAATGACATTACGAGAGTGGATCTTAAGCCAGGGAAGTGTCCTGTTTCGTCAGCTGATGTTGAATATCAACTTTTGTGCCAGTGATCACACATTTAACTTCAACTTGACTCTTCCTGAAGGTTTCTTGTTTGACAAGAAAGATATGCCTTGTTGGATGAAACAAAAAATATTCCTGGATAAATTATCATCCACCGATTTGTCTCATGCCGTGAACTACATAATAAGCCATTTACAGAGCTGGTTTGCTGTCATTGGATTGCTGGATGACCCACAAGGCTCACTGGAAGTGTTTGAAAAGGTTTATAAACTGCCCTTCACAAAATGCAAACATTTTGATAGGAAGGAGACATTATCTGAGCCTCATCATGCCAGTTTTGATAATAGTGCCAACAGTGTTTACCAAAGACAGTCGGATATTTATGATGAAAATGACCCTTACACATTATCAGATGATGTGTATGTGAGAAAGGCTCTATCAGCTGACTATCGAATATACAAAGCAGCTCTTAAGATATATCATATGCAAAAACAAACATTATCAAACAGGATATGGAGATGAGTTATTTCAAGACTATTATTGGCTCAGGACAAAGTGCTAAATATTCACATAATAACTACTAGTTACTAGTTTCTTCACTGTTGAAAGAGTGTTTGTTTGCTTGTAGTTGGGTTACGATCTGAAGCTAAAAGCACCAAGACCATTTATGAAATCATTTGACCATGATATGAAGCTAAGGCTAAAAAAATTAAATTATTGTTTTTTTTGGCAAGGAATTTTAAAACTTATTTCCATATTTGATGTGTAAGAGTGTGCTACCAAGGTTTTAGAAACTTCCTTGTTATCATATTAAGAAAATAATGCTTTCTTTCAGGGTTGTTTTGCAACTGTGGATGATGCCTGATTAACCAACTCATCTAAAGCCCCATTCATATGGACAAAATTTACTCATGTAAGCAAATTTACTCAATGAGTATATTTACTCATGTAAGCAAAAGTATATTTACATTGTGTTCACATGAAGTTTATGCAAGGCAGAAGTAAACATCATTTCATAAATAAATTGTGGACTTTTATCATTTGAGGCCATGTCGCTGTCGAAGATAGTCAACCAGAGGCGAAAGAGACACTTTCAATACTTTCTTAGTATGGGATTAGTCTTAGGATTATGCCAGGAAAGAGAACTGTGGAAAAGAGAATGTTCTCAACACTGGTGGAACAATGTTGTCAGACGATCATTTGATGATAAACTGTGGATCGATAACTTTCGCATGACACGCGAAACATTTAATGAACATGTTATGTTCTTTGCAAGGAACTACAGTCGTATTTTCCTGATTATCAGTATCTTGGATTTAATATGCTTACGTAAGCAAATAGAGAATCTGTTCACATGATCAGAAATACTCCAGGAGCATTTATACTTATGAGTAAATATACTTTTACTAGACCTCATCAGGTGTAGCAAATATACTTTTACTCATGCCTCCTTACTTCTGGAGTATATTAACTCACGTAACCAAATGCGTTCACATGCCACCATAAGTAAATTTACTTATGTAAGTATATATACTCACGTAAGTAAAAGTGTCCATGTGAATGGGGCTTTAGTTCATCAAAGTTGTTATTAAGAGTTTGACTGATCCATGGAAAAATACTGAAGCACTGATACAGAAAGCTGCAAATTAGGGCTGGGACGAGTCCAAATTTACTACCCGGGTACCCACTGTAGGTCTCAAGAGATGGGTACAAAATTTCCGATTGGGCATTTTTTTACCATAGTACTGGCAAAACGTTTTTAGATACATGTCTTAAACAATCTGGTCATATCTCAAGTTATATCTCTATTCAAAGATATGAAAAGTCAGAAGAAATGGGTGCACAGTCAGAAAGAAATGCGAACATTTGTGACTTGTAGTGTAACCATAGATACTTTTTGTCATTAAACAATTTATCTGACAAGTCCAGTCCAGGAAGTCCTGTTGGTACCCGGGTCCTACTCAGTACCCACCCAACCCGGGCAGCCGAGTTACCCGTCCCAGCCCTACTGCAAATGATATATTGTATGAACAAGTGAAGAATCGGGTAAGGAATAATGTACATACTGTGATAATTTAAAGTTTTTTGTATTAAACTTGTTACACCTTTCAATTTCTTTTGTTTTCCTTGTCAACCTTGCAGGTGTCAAATATTTCTAAACAGATGACCCAAGAGTACCTTGACTGGTCGAGTATTGTACTGCTCATTGCCAACTGAGAAACATCATCAAAAGATCACATGTTCATGCCAAAGAATGGCTTTAATCACACAAAACAAAACAGTTTAGGTTAAAAAACCCAGATGTACAAGACAATAACATGGCCTTCACATAACTAAGCTTGTTCTAGAAATAGCCAGTAATGAACACTCTGCCTCCAATCTACATGGCCATCAGCGAATGAGGATTCTGAGGTGGAATCTGTCCCTCATGATTGTAAGAGCCAGCTGAATGAGGACGAGGGGTGGATACAAAGTGTGACTTAGAAACAAACCACTTGATGTTGAGGGGGCTGGGGAGATAGCTCGATATTATCTGAAAAAGAAAATTGTCCCCCATAAGTCTTGAAAAAAAAAATATTGCCTGCCACAAGTTATTAAATTGTTGTAAGGTGTTTTTCTTTTATAAATATCTGGCTCAAACTTATAAATAGCTGATTGTGTCATAGACTGAGGCCAGATCAGAGCCCTGTGCTTGTGAGAGCCAGTTAAGTGGATCTTGAGTGGTGGATACCATGACATTGAAGAATGCGTGTTTCTGATTGGTTAAAATGAGGTCTCAATTTTCTAATTGATAAAATCATAAAAACTAAAGTGCTTGGATGGATTCAAAATTAAGGTAAGAAGGTATCAATTCTACATTGAGACAGCCTCATATTTAAAAACACTAGGTGTATCTCCTGTGTAAAAGAGACATAAAATTTAGAAGTTCAGATTCCTGTGTTTGAATACTCACTCACTCACTCACTCACTCAATCACTCAATCACTCACTCAATCACTCACTCAATCACTCACTCACTCACTCCTCAGCGTTTTTAGGTTGTCCGCTTATCAAGACTTGCCTATAATAAGGATGGAATTACTATACATTCAGTACAGCCTTGGAGAAAGGCTGTAAAAACAGCCTACAAAGCAAATGGCTATGAGTTCTTTCTTTACTTCATGAAACACATCATATCCTAGTCCTACCAAATGGTCATGCTTCATGTGAATTACATCTCTCTGCCAATAGTAAACTCATGCCTTAAACAGTTTGTTTATATTGAAGATAAGCCCCTTAGGTTTTTTAACGATTTGGATGAAGATCTAATCATTTATTTATTGTGGCCTAATTGTCACAACGTCACTTTGTTTGGCTGACATGTCAAATTAATCTACAGATCTATAAGGACAAACTGCTATGATCAGTCCCAAGTAAACCTTTGATTAGACATGACCTGTGAAGATCCAGGGTGCTGTAACAGTTGACTATACTTGTTGTGAGAGGCGACTAACGGGATCGGGTGGTCAGGTTCGCTGACTTGGTTGATGCATGTCATCGTATCCCAATTATGTGGATCGATGCTCATGATGTCAATCACTGGATTGTCTGGTCCAGACCCGATTATTAACAGACCGCCATCATATAGCTGGAATATTGCTGAGTACGGCGTTAAACAACAAATAAACAAACAAAGTTTGATTATATTACTCCAGCAAAGCAGCACACCCTGCTGCCATTGGCTCCAAATATCAGGACATATGGAATACATGTTGGAATATAATGCAAGCATTAGTTAAATTCGAAACAATCAGCCAATTTATCCGGGTATAATATCGATATGAGAGACTAAATTATTTAATCACTACTTTCTGTACAACCAAATATCTATATTACGTGCGCTTCTTTAGGATTCAGGCTTAGCCACCCCCAGCATTTTGCAAACACCATATGACCATATTTCAAACAACCTGTGTATTAAGGGATGCTAAACAACAACACAAGAGTTGTAGAGGGTTTACGATTAACCCCCATGTAATGCGTGTCCGGCTCTTTCCCAAAGACCTCCAAGAGGCTGGCAATATTTGTCATGACCATCCCATGTGTTGCTGGCCATTCTGAAAACACAAAATGTTGCGATTAAAATGGCATTCAAAGTCATCCATTTCATTCCAAAACATTTGCGTCAAACTTGTGTGTAACTGATTTCGTGTATACCTCCACCATTGTCCACCACTCAGGATTCCTTGGAAGTTAAAAGTCCCTGACACAATGCTTTCATTCATCTGAACCAAAGTCGGTATTTTATGAACGCTTCTTTTGGATTAGATTTTCATGTGCCTATCCTCCACCAATCAGATTTTTGACTCCATTACAACACTCCTCTTCGCGAAGAGCTAATGTATCGGAGTACAAGATCTGATTTTAATGAGATTGATAATCCGCCAGTCATGGCAATATCAATGCCCGTGGCTCCATCTCCTGACATGTGTTTAACATACCCAAATGATTATTTATGCAAATGTGAAAAATTACACGCCCGGTTATGTTCCCGATGCGATTAATCGTTGTTGTTTTAGACGAATCAGGAAGTATCCATTACATGATCACCCTTGTTATACCCATTGAGAGTGCCCAGCCGTGTCAGAGCATCGTGCTGTTTGATGCATTTTTATCTACTGATACAATATAACATCAAAAATGCAAATTTTGAAATCAAATATATATGCAGTAAAGGGGTACGCGGCTCGGACGCATTCGTGGCCAACTCGTGTCATTCCGGGAGAAGTCCAACGTCAACCTGGTTCCCTGGGTACACTGCGCTGGCGCTACAGGGAACCAGGCTGGTCGAATACATGTCTCCTTGGAGGTTGCGGAATCGGTGAAGATGTATGGCTCGGGGGCTTGGTACAACTCCTTTGCTATAAAATGTATGCCAAAGTAGCGCTTAATGATTACCCATAAACCCGGGCTGATTCCGGTTAAGAATATAGGTTCCCGGTAACCTATGTTTGTAAGAGGTGACTAAATGGATCGGGTGGTCAGGCTTGGTGACTAGTTTGATTTCATGGCATCGTATCCCAATTGCATGGATCGATGCTCACGATGTCAATCACTACATTGTCTGGTCCAGACTCGAATATTTACAGACCGCCGTTATATGGCTGAAGTGCTGCGTTAAACAACGAAAGCAAAATTATTATCCTTGATGACCACGACAATGTCCAAGTTTCACACTTGACGTAATATGCCCAAAGTTCGCCTGGAATAAGCACCAGACAGTGGAGCATGTAGATGCTTCCTACACGACAACGAGTGTATCCCAAATGTTCTAAACTAATAGAGGGGCGGTCGGGAAGCCTAGTGGTTAAAGCGTTCGCTCGTCACGCCGAAGACCCGGGTACGATTCCCGACATGGGTACAAAGTGTGAAGCCCATTTCTGGTGTCCCCCGCCGTGATATTGCTGGAATATTGCTAAAAGCGGCGTAAAACCATACTCACTCACTCACTCACTCTTAACTAATAGAAGTGTAAAATAACCAATGTCCATATAGAACGTACAAGTCAACTTATTGACATTTTGAACGTACAAGGTTGCAAGAGTAGTCTCCCCTGCTTCGATCCGCTTCACGTCGTTTTGGTGCAAATGACATACATTCTTCCATTCTTCAGTACGCTTCACGTCAAAATGTTGGACACATTGCAAGTTACACACAGCCCTCATTGAAGTATAAAATCACCTTCTCAAAAATCAACTTATGGTTAATAGACATCACATTATTATCCACCAGTAGGGAAGCGTCGTATAATGAGCGCGGATATTTCACAAAAAGGGATAACTTCACTTCAACAGAGATAACTGATGCGTGTACTGAGTAGCTATTAACAATGTTTGTGTTTAACGCCGAATAAGCAGTAATATTCTAGCTATATACTCTGTCATGTTAAATACAAGATGCGTTTTTTTGTACCTAGGTACGCAAATACTATTACAGTTACAGTCAGTACGTCTCTTAGGCGCGTTAGGATCCGATGATCATAGGTTCGACTCCCTGAACCGAGCCTATAATGCTTCTTGGTTTGCCAGCACCATGCACGTACTCGTGGGTTGTACCAATGTGGAACCTTAATCTCTACGACCTACACTAGTTTGACCTTTCCTCCCACATTAAACAAATACGCCGCTATATAGCTGAAGCAAATACTGCTGAAAGATGCAGTAACCCGAACTAATTTACACACTCAGTATAACTGTCAACCCATATTACATCAGTAAATCGTTAGATGAAAGAAGAGGCAAAACAAAACTGAAAACAATTATGCAGGTACCTCTCTGACAAGAGATGACGAGTTTAGGACATTCTGAATTATTTAAACAGCCGAAACTTTTATCCATGGATTTCCGTACTATCTTTACCAGAGTTGCAGTGGCTGCTCGAAGAGTCCATGGCGGTTTTTTTATGTAGGCTGGAAAATGTTTCTGACAAGATTGATTGATTGATTGAGTATGGTTTTACGCCGCTTTTAGCAATATTCCAGCAATATCACGGCGGGGGACACCAGAAATGGGCTCCACACACTGTACCCATGTCGGGAATCGAACCCGGGTCTTCGGCATGACGAGCGAACGATTTAACCACTAGGCTACCCGACCGCCCCGTTTCTGACAAGAAAGGGCGTCTGTCCATTGGGACCTTAGTCCTTTGGCAGTTGCCTTGTCATCAAAGAACAAAGCTTCAGCAGCCGATTTCAGGTAGGTGTTCATTGAAAATAAAGCCCCCCCCCCCCCCCCCCCCCCCCACACACACACACACACACTGATACTGACACCCCACACACCCTTCACACCAAAAAATATGTAAATTATGCATTAAATTATCAATAATGCTGAGGATAGGTATGCTTTTAGGTAAAAGAGAAGGTTAATGAATATGTAAAAATGATAAAACATAGGAACATTTAGTGATAGGACTACTCATGTGTTGTTACATGAAACGGAAAACAAACAATGTCTTGATTGAAAATCTGCTTAATGAATGTCTTGCGGTAGAGCTGATACTTGTCAAAATTGATTGAAAGTACTTAACGGATTTCCAAAATGTAAGCTATTGTGTCACAATAGAAGCGAATAATGTTAATATAATATAAATCTTCATTGTGTACGAATTTGCTTTTGGGGTACGAGTCATCCAGTTGATATTACGTACGAGTCCGCCCACAGGACCATGTAACTCATAATAATAATACACAACTTGCAGACGAGGCCGAAGGCTACGAGTTTTTGCGAATGTGTTTATTATTATTAGTTACATGGTCATGTGGCCCGCCAGAGACAAAAAAAACTAGGTAGGGTAGGAATTGTCCAGAAATACATATACTGCATGGTCATCAAGCCTTGAGGAAAATCACGGAAGAGAAAGTTATCTTGGAAGATCAGCATTGTTGAACATCAGAACAGATATAAACTTTTCATAAGGTGGATGATCTGAACAAAGCCGCGCGAAGAAAATTGGTGTTATCCGTCCCCAAGAGTACGTGAGCTCTACCGCTAACACAGTGTTATTGTCTCCCTTGAGTAGCTCTCACTTATTGCCTTATCTCACCCTGATTCTCTAGGTTTCGGAAGAAGAAAACTACGAAGGCGAAAACATGGGAGATGTTGGAACCAATCGTCATGATACTTTAACATAAATACACATGTCTCAAGTCATGAGATCCAACAGTCTGAGGCATCTGACTGAGTTGTTTGTAGTTTCCGAGTGTTAGGTAGGTCACGTGTGTGAGCGAAAACTGAATCCCTGTCGAACTAGGGGCCAATTCAACACTAATCATTCTTCTACTACTGATTATTTCACTGTTCACTGAGGATAAGCTAGCCGAGATTATAAGTGTATCATTCAAATATGTACGCAGAGCATCCAAAATGGAAAAGCATCAAAGGAAGTTTTGCCATATTATATTGGCCTAAACCCTCCTGATTCAACTTAAAATTACTTTAGTTCAACAGATGAGATACAGAGTGTAGGTATACAGTTGGCAACGCAGGCCCTTGTGTCGCTGATTTAGCATTTCTGATATGACGTGTCAGAAATGCACTATCCAATTTATGAAAAAATATTTTAAAATATAGTGATTATCTGACACTTGACTTGTGATATTGATAGATCTAGAAATGTTAAATCAGCGACACAAGGGCCTGTGGCTGGCAATTATGTGTTGCTGATGTAACTGTGGTCACATGACCTTGCCCCCAGGCATCGTCTTTCTTCGTCCTGGCGTAAATCAGCTGAATTGGCTAAGTTTGAAAATCATTGTCTGTTCCAGTTTTTTCCTGTTTTAATGTCCAGATCTAATATATCACTAAACAAGAATGTTGTGCATAGGTACAAAAAGACACGGCAGTATGGATCCTTTCACATGCAGCATTAACCTATATATTCTTGGGAGATAGAGATTAGCCAGGTCATGTGACGACCATATAAGGTTTCACCAATTATGGAATCTTTCAAGAAAATCAACAGTGGACCTGGGCTTCTTTCAGTTGCTGAAGATTGAAGAAGTAACATCGTTTTGATTTAATGAATTAATCACACTAGTAACGTTTTACATTTGTTTTTCTTCACAGTAGCCATGACAGCTAGTTTGCACTGACCTTCTGAGACATGGAGCCATTGTTGACAAAATGTTTCTATTTCAAGATCAGCAAGCTCTTCAAACATCACATGACTAGACGATAATCCCAAATGGGTGTAGATTTGAGATTTAGGACATTTGACAGTCGACAAATCTTCAAAATGAACATTATAGCATGGACAGTGCCGAATTCAACTTGTTTATCCACTTTTGCCATTCTACAAAGAGGTTCAATGTGTGGCCTCGCAAGAAGCCAGTCAAAATAGGTCTTATGACACTAAATGCTGTTTTGGTTTCAGTGTTTTACCTTTGTGACACTGGACTTATAGCACTGGGTTCTTGACTGTGGAGTGTACATAAGAAAGCTTCTTTCAAAATAAACTCATGTAGCGTACTGTGTCTTGTGTTGCAACAGATTGAGTAGTAGGGGTGTCATGATAAATCGAAAAATCTATAAATTGCTATTGGTAAGCACTTGAAGTCAATAAATCAATTGTTAATTCAGTTTCTGATCAATAGTATCGATTTCTGTTAGGAATATCAAGTTTCGATTGTATTTACCATATCATGCTACTGAGTCAAATGCTGTTCAAATTTGTTTTTCTTTTGATCGTGAGTGGTAGTAATTTACACATGGTAATGTGGAAGTTTCTTTTTCTTCAAGTATAAGGGTAAAGAAAAAACAAACTAGTCATATATCAAACTTTACTTTTTATTTATTATGGTTATCACATTCAAAGGAAACTTCAGTTCCAAGGTTTAATTCAACTCTAAAATCCATCTAAAATGATACACTGAAAACTATCGATATTTATCGCAATAGTTACTTGCAATATCAATAGTTATCGCAATAGTGATTTCAAGACCAATAGTCACCCCTATTGAGTAGGCAATTTGACACAAAGCATGATCGACGGGAAAATGCATCCATTGAAAATAGTGTAAAAATCCCCTCAGAGATACGCCTTTAGCTATTGGTCGTCATGACATCAACAGATGCCTTAGTTGTCAAGCACGCCCACAAAAACCTACCTACCTCAGTTACAAACTAAATACATGCTAATAAAAATGATTTTTCTTCTTCAGCAATAAAACTGACCCAACTATTCAGATGTAACTATGGCAACGTCATCTCTGGTCAAGCTGGTCTCATGGAGGCTGGCTGGTGTTGCATTGTTGAGGCGCACCAATCTTGCTGTCCCGAGGCCGAGGTTGCTGTGCACACACACAGGTGTGCCAACAGAGGACACTGGTCACCGTGTGTTCTCCGCTACAGAACGCATCCCTAAACGTTTTGATGCAGAGATACAGAAGGTGATGCAGGAACATTCTGATAAAATCGATGGCTATGCTACTATTATGAACTGTCCAAGAGTAGTTGTTGAATCCTTGATCCAAGCCGACACTCGGCTAGTGACAAGTTTCACCTATGAACAGATCCGTGCCAAAATGAAGATGTTTGTAGACTTTGGATTCAGCCCCGAAGAAATCTCTACCTACCCAGCAGTGTTTTGTAGAAGTTACAACGATTCAAAGAGGAGGTTGGCTGAAATGGAAACTGTACGAAAATATCATTTTTCATTGAGAATGGTATATGTATCAGAACGTGAATTTAGGAGAAGAATTGCTTTATATAGAAAGGAACTTTCCATTCTAGGAGATCATCCTACTAAGGTTCATTTCGTAGCTGCGAAATTAAACTGTGACGTGACAGATGTGCTGGACATGATTGACAAGGGGAACACCCACTTGATGACACGCCCCCCTTCAGCAATTGATAATCTTGTTGACATGATCCTAGAGTATGGTTTTACAACCGAACAGATTAGAGAATCACCGCAAGTTCTGATTGCTAGTCTCAAGCTGGCTAGACACAGATTTGTACTGGTCAAAGACAGTGATGTGTTGAACAGAATGTCTTTATTCACCATATTAGGAACAAACCTTTCTCAGTTTCGGGCCTCACTTCGGACTTGGCTGCTCGAGCTGGCTCATCTGGATGGGTGTGAAGATTGTGACTGTGTTTTGAGGAGGAGGCTTGGTGTTGATGAAAACACTGTTAAGGCGATGCATATTCGAGCAACTAAGCTGAAGTATTTACGGGCAAGGAAAATTCAACCATGTCTTGATATTTTGCTGAAGGAAATGGAGATTGCCCCTGGAGACATTGTGAAACAACCAGTTGTGCTGTACTTCAGCCCTGACAGGCTGCTTCGACGGAAGGCTATTCTGGAAGAAGCTGGAGTAGAGGGCAGTTGGAACAGACTCAATGCATTATGTCTCAGTGAAGCCAAATTTGAAATAAAATATGAAGATTATATTAAAAAAAGTGATGAGAGTGTAACATAGGAATAAAGAAGTTTTGTTGAAAGAAGGCTGCTTTTGAATATCAGTTTGGAGTATTCGGTTCTTCATCTTCTTAGACTTGAATTAAATGTGTGGTGGTTCGATTACATTTATGTCCAAATGGGGTAGGTTGGCTCTTTTTCTTTTTTTCAAAAACCCTGCAGCTGTTTCAGAACTACTTTAAAGTGTTTGGTGCATGTTTTAGTGTGTGGCCTTTGTTTTGTAAACGCTTTTAACAGTATTCCAGTTATATCGTGGCGTGTCAGCTTAATGTGGGAGGAAAGCCCGAAGTTATGCAGGTCTCGAACGTTTACCGCTTCGGTGAAACTCACGAGCACGGGGATGGTGCTGACAAACCTAGAAACATAATTGGGGCGAACCAGGATTAGAACCTACAATCATAGGTTTCTATCATATCCTCCATGTCACCATGGCATAAGACTACATTTATGAGCCTTCGATCTAGACTGGTGACACATTTTCCTCAAACTGTTCTGTCATCAATGCTAATGTTCATGATGAAAGAAGTTCTATCACTGCCAAGTGGTCTTCAACTAACAATTCAGTTACTCAATCACCAGTTTCAAACAAGGGACCTTAAACAATGAAATGGCAATGATCTTGTAATTGTGGGTTTTTTATATCCAAAACACAGATGACAACACCTCAAGAAAAGATGTAGCCAATTTATTTCAAATGCAACATTTTTACAGAATGAAAACAATGAAATGACGGAATGTTTTATTATTCTCCTTCCATCAGTTGACTAGCAATGGAAAGAACTACCGGTACACAACTCGTGGCCATTATGCACAAAACTTTCTCCATGGAAACAGTTGCCCAGTGCCCTCAATCAGACAGCAACCATGACTTGCATAGACTTATCTCCCCTTACACAGCACTGCATGTCAGCACAGGTAATTAGTTTACAATTTGCTCAATTATAGTAAATCCTAGGTTAATTAAAGTCATCAAATCAAACATAATTAAATGGCAATTGGCTGACATTCACTATTTTGTTATTAGTGTAATTTGAGCAAATATTGATGGATATTTTTCATTCAGAGGAAGGCATGACAGTTTGGTTCATGGATATTTGTTCACTGTATGATCATTCATGACAGGGATATTTGCCAATGACTCGGTGTTGCATATTCCCATAGCTCAGCACTTCTCTGAATTTAAGTCCCCAGCTGTTTGCCCCACTGACCGGATCACGACCATATGTTCCTTAGCCGTCCTGAGAAACAAAGGAAATAGGTTAAATATTAACATGAAGTATGCGCTGTTGAACTATAAAAATATGGTGCTATCATCTATTGGTTTTTGTGTCTTAGTTTGTATAGTTTGATTATTTTGACGACTGGCTCTATAACCGCTGACGGATCCCTGTACAGCATGTGATGGTCGGCTCCGTTCACCACGATGTGTGTCGCATGAGGCAGCTCACTGGAGATGAGCGACTGTTCTGACTTGGCCCATGCCTGAAAAACACAACATGAATTTAATTTTCAGGTGGAAGACACATTTTGGCTCAAGATTTAGTTTGTTTACATATTCTACAGAACCTAAATTAAAACCTGAAAAGTACTTTTTTATATTCCATCTAAAACAAACTTCACTATTCACCACAATATTCCTTGGCACAAAACCACAGCAAGACAGACCAGAAAAGCTCAACTACCCAGTACCTTGTTCAGGGGGCTGGGGATCTGTTCATCATAGTAGTTCCCGGTGATGAGGGTGACCGAGATGTTCTTGGGAATTGACTTCATCAGGCGTAGTGTTCTACAAGGAAAACAAAAACATACTTATATAAGACTAGGGTATCTAACAACAAGAAAACAGCAGCATCAGTATCCCCCGCCATGGGGCACATTAGAATTCTGTTTGTTCATATAGTAGTAAAAAGAGTCCTATAAATCCTATGAAGAGTTAGGCACTTGGACCACTTTATGTCATCAGAAAAAAATGGTTAAAAGTGAATTTTTTACAAACAAAAGGACCCTTCTCTGGAAAAAATAACTCAGTCTAGGTAAGTATCTCTTAGATAAGCTAACTTCAGTAGTTTCTGAGAAAACCTGTCCCCATTTCACGCAGCATGCACTAAGTTGAAAAGCATGGAGCAAGGGCGATAACTATAAAAAAAAAAGAATTTAAGACACCAATTTTCAAACTCATTGGAGATCATGACCAGTAACATCAGTGTGTAAAATTTCATTTATCTGACTTAGTTTTTGAGAAAATTGTCCACTTTGAACAGGTATTGAAGCAGACGGACAGACAGATGACCTCTGCTCCTATATCCCCGGCCAAACTTACTGGACCATGATCATTTTCCAGTCCTTGTGAAGTAAGCAAACAGTTGTTACTTTAGACACGTCTCACACTGCATCAGTAGATGCAAGGGGTATCGTGAATGTTCCAGGAATACCGGTAGTGGAGTCTGAAAACCAGTGACTGGAATCATGAGCGACCATCCATGTTGTCATCAGGAATGGTGACACAGAATGACCCCCATTATGGGCACTTACCGAGACGCATCTGGAATGGGCACCCATTTTCACTAGGAATCCAAACAGGATGCTCCTAGCTTTAGTCTATATTACAGTGCTTATATTTTGTTTTGTACTCCGCAATATTCCAGCTATATGACGGCGGTCTGTAAATAATCGTGTCTGTACCAGACAATCCAGTGATCATGGACCAGACATCATGAGCATTGATCTACACAATTTGGATTGATGACATGCATCAACCTTGTCAGCAACCAAGCCTTTGCCACATCCTCCATTTAGTCGCCTCTAATGACCAGCATAGGTTGCTAAGGACCAGTTCTAGCCTGATCACCTTTCAGGACTTGCAGTAAGGTGCCGGAGACATTCTACCCAGGTCCCCAAGGGGAGTCACGCTAGTGAAGACTGATAATCAAGGTCAAAACAGACAGTTGACAGTTTGAGTGACAGGCAAAAACATGAACTGTCAAACCAGGAAGTAACACCCCTACTCTCACCCCTACTAAACCAGAATTCCAAAATATCTTATTGAAAATTGTTCTGACCTGCATCATCCCAATATTATCCACTGGTACATGATCTATCCTGTAATGATAAATACCCTTGATCCATTCTCCACCATAGCTTCATTCAAAGTGACCATCGCCACCTCTCTTACCACTAGTCATCAGCCTTACAATCAACAACCAATCAAATGACTTCTTCTGAACACAAGTTCTGTCCACTCGAAATCACAGCCTCATACAAGCAAGCCCTCATGTGATATGGAATTGGAGGACTGAAGGTAACTTTCAGGTGGAAAAGATGTTTTCATTGGTATTAGACAGGGAATGGAAGTGCTCATGCCATTCCCGGTTGAGACCACACGTAACCATAGCAACAAGGTAAGTCAGGAACCGGTCATAGTACTGCTTGTTTCAGTCATGAAAGAAATTGTCAATCATACAGACATATTTTTTAGGGTTGTGTCAATCAAACAGGACTTAAACTGAAGCTATGGTGGTAAAAAGGTCCAGTGTATATGTCATGATACTGTAGATTATAGAGGATGTTGCACTGGTACATGACCACTATTAGCAATGTACAGTGAAGCTTCTCACTTTATCTGTGAGAATGTTTCGTTGATGAAGTGATGCTCGTCTACCACGGAGCTCAGGTGTCTGGGGTTGCACAGCAAGTATTTCTGCAATAGAGAAGTGTACTTTATATACAGGAAACCTAATATATGCACAATATGGAGGAACCCCATCACATAACGCATCCCCTGACCCAGGGACTAATCTGCCTCATCTCCAACCCTGGGGGTAGCTCCACCCTCCCTCTGACCCAAGGGACTGACCTGCGTCATCTCCAACCCTGGGGGTAGCTCCACCCTCCCCCTGACCCTGGGGACTAAACTGCCTCATCTCCAACCCTGAGGGTAGCTCCACCCTCCCCCTGACCCTGGGGACTAAACTGCCTCATCTCCAACCCTGGGGGTAGCTCCACCCTCCCCCTGACCCTGGGGACTAAACTGCCTCATCTCCAACCCCGGGGGTAGCTCCACCCTCCCCCTGACCCCGGGGACTAAACTGCCTCATCTCCAACCCTGAGGGTAGCTCCACCCTCCCCCTGACCCTGGGGACTAAACTGCCTCATCTCCAACCCCGGGGGTACCTCCACCCTCCCCCTGACCCTGGGGACTAAACTGCCTCATCTCCAACCCCGGGGGTAGCTCCACCCTCCCCCTGACCCTGGGGACTAAACTGCCTCATCTCCAACCCCGGGGGTAGCTCCACCCTCCCTCTGACCCTGGGGACTCAACTGCCTCGCCTCCAACCCTGGGGTAGCACCATCCTTCCCCTCACCCAGGGCTCTGACCTGCCTCATCTCCACCCCCAGGTAGCTCCACCCTCCCTCCGACCCAGGGCACTGACCTGCCTCATCTCCACCTCCGGGGGTAGCTCCACCCTTCCCCTCACCCAGGGCACTGACCTGCCTAATCTCCAACCCCAGGTAGCTCCACCCTCCCTCGGACCCAGGGCACTGCCCGGCCTCATCTCCACCCCCAGGTAGCTCCACCCTTCCCCTCACCCAGGGCACTGACCGGCCTCATCTCCACCCCCAGGTAGCTCCACCCTCCCTCCGACCCAGGGCACTGACCTGCCTCATCTCCACCTCCGGGGGTAGCTCCCCCCTTCCCCTCACCCAGGGCTCTGACCTGCCTCATCTCCACCCCCAGGTAGCTCCACCCTTCCTCCGACCCAGGGCACTGACCTGCCTCATCTCCACCTCCGGGGGTAGCTCCCCCCTTCCCCTAACCCAGGGCACTGACCTGCCTAATCTCCAACCCCAGGTAGCTCCACCCTCCCTCCGACCCAGGGCACTGACCTGCCTAATCTCCAACCCCAGGTAGCTCCACCCTCCCTCCGACCCAGGGCACTGACCTGCCTAATCTCCAACCCCAGGTAGCTCCACCCTCCCTCCAACCCAGGGCACTGACCTGCCTCATCTCCACCTCCGGGGGTAGCTCCCCCCTTCCCCTCACCCAGGGCACTGACCTGCCTAATCTCCAACCCCAGGTAGCTCCACCCTCCCTCCAACCCAGGGCACTGACCTGCCTCATCTCCACCTCCGGGGGTAGCTCCACCCTCCCTCCGACCCAGGGCACTGATCTGCCTAATCTCCACCCCCAGGTAGCTCCACCCTCCCTCCGACCCAGGGCACTGACCTGCCTCATCCCAAACCCCTCAAGCCTCCCTCCGACCCAGGGCACTGACCTGCCTCATCTCCACCCCCAGGTAGCTCCACCCTTCCCCTCACCCAGGGCACTGACCTGCCTCATCTCCACCCCCAGGTAGCACCACCCTCCCTCCGACCCAGGGCACTGACCTGCCTCATCTCCACCTCCGGGGGTAGCTCCACCCTTCCCCTCACCCAGGGCACTGACCTGCCTCATCTCCACCTCCGGGGGTAGCTCCACCCTCCCTCCGACCCAGGGCACTGACCTGCCTCATCTCCACCCCCAGGTAGCTCCACCCTCCCTTCGACCCAGGGCACTGACCTGCCTCATCTCCACCTCCGGGGGTAGCTCCCCCCTTCCCCTCACCCAGGGCACTGACCTGCCTAATCTCCAACCCCAGGTAGCTCCACCCTCCCTCCAACCCAGGGCACTGACCTGCCTCATCTCCACCTCCGGGGGTAGCTCCACCCTCCCTCCGACCCAGGGCACTGATCTGCCTAATCTCCACCCCCAGGTAGCTCCACCCTCCCTCCGACCCAGGGCACTGACCTGCCTCATCCCAAACCCCTCAAGCCTCCCTCCGACCCAGGGCACTGACCTGCCTCATCTCCACCCCCAGGTAGCTCCACCCTTCCCCTCACCCAGGGCACTGACCTGCCTCATCTCCACCCCCAGGTAGCACCACCCTCCCTCCGACCCAGGGCACTGACCTGCCTCATCTCCACCTCCGGGGGTAGCTCCACCCTTCCCCTCACCCAGGGCACTGACCTGCCTCATCTCCACCTCCGGGGGTAGCTCCACCCTCCCTCCGACCCAGGGCACTGACCTGCCTCATCTCCACCCCGAAGTAGCTCCACCCTTCCCCTCACCCAGGGCACTGACCGGCCTCATCTCCACCCCCAGGTAGCTCCACCCTCCCTCCGACCCAGGGCACTGACCTGCCTCATCTCCACCTCCGGGGGTAGCTCCCCCCTTCCCCTCACCCAGGGCTCTGACCTGCCTCATCTCCACCCCCAGGTAGCTCCACCCTTCCTCCGACCCAGGGCACTGACCTGCCTCATCTCCACCTCCGGGGGTAGCTCCCCCCTTCCCCTAACCCAGGGCACTGACCTGCCTAATCTCCAACCCCAGGTAGCTCCACCCTCCCTCCGACCCAGGGCACTGACCTGCCTAATCTCCAACCCCAGGTAGCTCCACCCTCCCTCCGACCCAGGGCACTGACCTGCCTAATCTCCAACCCCAGGTAGCTCCACCCTCCCTCCAACCCAGGGCACTGACCTGCCTCATCTCCACCTCCGGGGGTAGCTCCCCCCTTCCCCTCACCCAGGGCACTGACCTGCCTCATCTCCAACCCCAGGTAGCTCCACCCTCCCTCCAACCCAGGGCACTGACCTGCCTCATCTCCACCTCCGGGGGTAGCTCCACCCTCCCTCCGACCCAGGGCACTGATCTGCCTAATCTCCACCCCCAGGTAGCTCCACCCTCCCTCCAACCCAGGGCACTGACCTGCCTAATCTCCACCCCCAGGTAGCTCCACCCTCCCTCCGACCCAGGGCACTGACCTGCCTCATCCCAAACCCCTCAAGCCTCCCTCCGACCCAGGGCACTGACCTGCCTCATCTCCACCCCCAGGTAGCTCCACCCTTCCCCTCACCCAGGGCACTGACCTGCCTCATCTCCACCCCCAGGTAGCACCACCCTCCCTCCGACCCAGGGCACTGACCTGCCTCATCTCCACCTCCGGGGGTAGCTCCACCCTTCCCCTCACCCAGGGCACTGACCTGCCTCATCTCCACCTCCGGGGGTAGCTCCACCCTCCCTCCGACCCAGGGCACTGACCTGCCTCATCTCCACCCCCAGGTAGCTCCACCCTCCCTTCGACCCAGGGCACTGACCTGCCTCATCTCCACCTCCGGGGGTAGCTCCCCCCTTCCCCTCACCCAGGGCACTGACCTGCCTAATCTCCAACCCCAGGTAGCTCCACCCTCCCTCCGACCCAGGGCACTGACCTGCCTCATCTCCACCTCGGGGGTAGCTCCACCCTTCCCCTCACCCAGGGCTCTGACCTGCCTCACCAACCCTAGGGGTAGCACCACCCTTCCCCTCACCCAGGGCACTGACCTGCCTCATCTCCAACCCTAGGGGTAGCACCACCCTTCCCCTCACCCAGGGCTCTGACCTGCCTCATCTCCACCTCGGGGGTAGCTCCACCCTTCCCCTCACCCAGGGCTCTGACCTGCCTCATCTCCACCCCCAGGTAGCTCCACCCTCCCTCCGACCCAGGGCACTGACCTGCCTCATCTCCACCCCCAGGTAGCTCCACCCTCCCTCCGACCCAGGGCACTGACCTGCCTCATCTCCACCTCCGGGGGTAGCTCCACCCTCCCTCCGACCCAGGGCACTGACCTGCCTCATCTCCACCTCCGGGGGTAGCTCCACCCTTCCCCTCACCCAGGGCTCTGACCTGCCTCATCTCCACCCCCAGGTAGCTCCACCCTTCCCCTCACCCAGGGCTCTGACCTGCCTCATCTCCACCCCCAGGTAGCTCCACCTTTCCCCTCACCCAGGGCTCTGACCTGCCTCATCTCCACCCCCAGGTAGCTCAAACCCTCCCTCCGACCCAGGGCACTGACCTGCCTCATCTCCACCCCCAGGTAGCTCAAACCCTCCCTCCGACCCAGGGCACTGACCTGCCTAATCTCCACCCCAAGGTAGCTCCACCCTCCCTCCGACCCAGGGCACTGACCTGCCTCATCTCCACCCCAGGTAGCACCACCCTTCCCCTCACCCAGGGCACTGACCTGCCTCACCTCCAACCCTAGGGGTAGCTCCACCCTCCCTCCGACCCAGGGCACTGACCTGCCTCATCTCCACCCCCAGGTAGCTCCACCCTCCCTCCGACCCAGGGCACTGACCTGCCTCATCTCCACCCCCAGGTAGCTCCACCCTCCCTCCGACCCAGGGCACTGACCTGCCTCATCTCCACCTCCGGGGGTAGCTCCACCCTCCCTCCGACCCAGGGCACTGACCTGCCTCATCTCCACCCCCAGGTAGCTCCACCCTCCCTCCGACCCAGGGCACTGACCTGCCTCATCTCCACCCCCAGGTAGCTCCACCCTCCCTCCGACCCAGGGCACTGACCTGCCTCATCTCCACCTCCGGGGGTAGCTCCACCCTCCCTCCGACCCAGGGCACTGACCTGCCTCATCTCCACCTCCGGGGGTAGCTCCACCCTTCCCCTCACCCAGGGCTCTGACCTGCCTCATCTCCACCCCCAGGTAGCTCCACCTTTCCCCTCACCCAGGGCTCTGACCTGCCTCATCTCCACCCCCAGGTAGCTCAAACCCTCCCTCCGACCCAGGGCACTGACCTGCCTCATCTCCACCCCCAGGTAGCTCAAACCCTCCCTCCGACCCAGGGCACTGACCTGCCTAATCTCCACCCCAAGGTAGCTCCACCCTCCCTCCGACCCAGGGCACTGACCTGCCTCATCTCCACCCCAGGTAGCACCACCCTTCCCCTCACCCAGGGCACTGACCTGCCTCACCTCCAACCCTAGGGGTAGCTCCACCCTCCCTCCGACCCAGGGCACTGACCTGCCTCATCTCCACCTCCGGGGGTAGCTCCACCCCAGCCAGGGGGTGCTTCATGATGCCCACCATCAGAGCCAGCCTCATGAGTCCCAGCGCTGCACCCAGCTGGAAGGACTGGTACGTTGGAATCAGCTGGCCAAACCTGGATAAAGATGATTTTAGAGTACACCTGAGTTACAAGATTTAACCTATTAGAGTAACACTCACTAGTCAGTGACTTTAATCAGATACATTCATGGTTTCATTTTAAGTGGACCAGAACATAATGAGTCTGATTGTGTTTAGTGTTGACACTGTCTGGTACAGACAAACCAGTGGTGGATATTAATAGCAACACCCCACACTGTCGGAGTACAGTGGCAACCAATTCACGGAGCCTGGCCACATATTCCATTTAGTCACCTCTTACAACAAGTATCCTGCGAACTTTCTTAACCCATAATCTTCACGGGGTGTAACTAAATCTAAGTAAGGTAACACTATGTTAGACAAATGTTTAAGGTATTCATTTCTGTTTCGTTGGGATGTAGTACTTGTAGTCTCTACCTATTGTACAAGTGTGTTTGGGTGAGTGAGTATGGTTTTACGCCGCTTTTAGCAATATTCCAGCAATATCACGGCAGGGGACACCAGAAATGGGCTTCACACATTGTACCCATGTTGGGAATGGAGCCCGGGTCTTCGGCATGACGAGTGAACGCTTTAACCACTATGCTACCCAACCGCCCCCAAGTGTGTTTGGATTAAAGGGGCAATGAATTTGAAAGGAAACAGTTTCTTTTCACCCATTTCATAAAAGTATTGATGACATGTACAGAAACCCATGGGGTCTGACCAGAAGTAAACACCAGGCTGGTGAAAGAATGAGGCTGATGAAACTGACCAGTACTGCGTCCACACACCCTGGTCCTGCTCAAACAGCCTCTCAGACAGTGGGTTGACCAGTACCAGGCCCAGGACACTGCTGAAACATAAGAAAGGGATCAACAGGCTGTCAACCATTGGGTAACCAGATGCTGAGATGCAATTTTGGTGTTCATCTGTGTAACTGTAAAATCTCACCCCTCATACATCTGGGTAAGAACTCACCCCTTGTACATCTGGTGTGGAACTCACCCCTCGTACATCTAATGTAGAACTCACCCCTCGTACATCTGGTGTATAACTCACCCCTGGTACATCTGGTGTAGAACTCACCCCTCGTACATCTAATGTAGAACTCGCCCCTCGTACATCTGGAGTAGAACTCGACCCTCGTACATTTAAAGTAGAACGCACCCCTCGCAATCTAATGTAGAACGCACCCCTTGCAATATAATGTAGAACTCACACCCCATACATCTAATGTAGAACTCACCCCTTGTACATCTAATGTAGAACTCACCCCTCGTACATCTAGTGTAGAACTCGCCCCTTGTACATCTGGAGTAGAACTCGACCCTCGTACATTTAAAGTAGAACGCACCCCTCGCAATATAATGTAGAACGCACCCCTCGTACATCTGGTGTAGAACTCACCCCTCGTACATCTGGTGTGGAACTCACCCCTCATACATCTGGGTGTAGAACATGCTGACCAGGGCCCCGAGCTCTGCTCCAACTAGAATGAACGGCTGTGGCTGCTGGCTGCTGACCGTGAAGAGCTGGTTCAAGTCATCCACCATCCTGGAAACACAGCCACTACTATGATGTATTCACAAACAAAATACGAGAAAATAGATTGATAAAAAATATAAAATAATATATTTATTATAAATAAGTTGAAACAAATGACATCACTTCACAGTAGGCTGGTCTCATATCTTCAATTCGATTCAGTCATAGTTCCCTAAGAATCAATGTATCAAGGAAATGTCTCACACACTGCCGTCCCTTCCCTAATACATGTCAGTATCACAAAATGAGCCCTTGGGAGTTTTACAAAATAGTGGGCTATAGATAAACCTGCTTTTCCTGTTTACTTGTAGTCAGCAGTTGTTTGTTTCCTTCATCAATAATTTATCGATTGTCTAACGGTCACAAGTTCTTTCTGCACAACCAGAGTTCCTCAGGCACAAAATGGGTTATCCAGACACAACCAGCCTTACCGAGGCTTAAGCACATTTCCCCAATACACCCAGGGTGATTGGCTGGATCAGCACCATCTAGGTCACATGTCAAACACTTCTGGACATCTAGTCCTGCCATTCCTACAAGTTTTGTTTGTGATTTGTTTCTTGTTTGAAGCGTCACTCAGCAATATGCCAGCTATATGACGGCAGTCTGTAAATATTCGAGTCTGGACCAGACAATCCCGTGATTGGCATCATGAGCAACTATCCACGCAATTGGGATACGATGACATGCATCAACCAAGATCAGCAGGCATGACCACTCGATCCCGTTAGTCGCCTCTTACGACAAGCATAGCCTACAAGTATTGACAGTATCGCTCTTGTGTATGGTACACATGAGGGCTGGCGACCTCACCTCTCCCCCGTGTATGGCTGCCACTGGTTCCTTGTGTACTTCCTCTCCTCCTGCGTCTGGGATTGATTCTGAGGATGCAAATTCACAAAGGTTAATGTTATTTGCTCACTAATACATGCATCCTAACAACTGCTGACTTCCTATGCCTTGCCCTGCATGACCATAAGGCTTAACATAGCACTCTGGATTGCATGTTCATGAAGCTGTCATGTTCATGAAGCTGTCATGTTCATGAAGCTGTCTAGTACATGAAGCTGTGTTCTGCTACCAAATCTGTCATGTTCCGTCTTCCCGAGGCAAGGGCATAAACTGATTCTAAAAGGCAAGTTTCCACCCTTGTCAAACTACGCTGGATTTTCATAGCTTGATCGTAGCTCCACCAGTGGCTGTTACAAGTTATGTCCCTTCTATGCCCCTTCTATTGACCATTTAGATTCCATCTTTCATATCACTTGCATTTGCTTCAAACAAAATGGCGGCACCCAGTCAAGACGATCTGATCAATAATCAAGATCTATTGACCTTTTTCACACTTCGCTACTTCCAGTTTGAAAGCGAGGCTTGGAGAGCAGAAGGTGAAGGCTGGATAGCACATGAAACACATGGAGATGTCAACAAGACACGCAATCGGTACAAACTGTGACAAGTTAACCATCCCGGTACATTTATCGTAAGTATTGAACATTATTCTTATTCTTATCATTGACAAACTATTCTACTGTTATCTGGTCTCCTTACCGATATAAATTTGAGTCTGGCCGTTCTGTTGTGATTTCAATTTAAAATATCCATGACCACCTGGTAACTCCCAGTGCAGTTTATGGTAGCTGAACAGACTTAATACAAATGCTACTGAGATCTTGTAAAGAATAATTCATTGTTTACACACCATTAAGCCAAACTATTTATTGTTAGTTTAAATAACTTTGCGGGTTGTATTTGAAGTCGAAATATTGACATTTTGACCATATCTAGATAGATGTCAGAAACTAACTTAATTGATATGTTGATATAATGTATCAAATTGTAACCTACTGAGAATTTACAATCGTAACAAATCAGAATTTTGCATCAGTTGCGTATTTGATGTAAATTGTAATGGACTTAAATGCATTCCAATAAAATGTTAGACCTCTAGATCTACTTGTGCTGTTGTGATTGTGAACAGTTGTTATTTTGATTGTCAATGTTGACAGATTTGATAGCATGAGGTGTAATATTTCAACTGAATTATTACATAAAGGGTGTGTAAATATTTGAAGTAAAGTACAGATTGATCTGCAATTTTGTAAACAATATTTCTACCAAAATGATATTTACTTGACTGTACCAAATTAATCATGTCATGAAATGAACATTAACACAACTAATTAATGGCCAGTAAATGTTCAATCTACATGTGATCTGTATATAATTTACAGAAACAGATAACTCTTTAACAGTCTGTATTCAAATATTTCAAATGCATAAATCGATATTGACATTACTATAAACTTAAAGTATAAAAAGAATTATTTTTAATTCCCATGCGTATTGCATTCATAACTCATTTATTCCCTTTGTTTAATTGTGAAACCCATCTGGTTTTATGTCCACAAACATATTTTGAAACTTTTAAAAAAAAAAAAATTCTTTTGTGCAAGCAATTGCCATGTATTATTGATTATTAATCAAATCAATTTATATGTAAGAATCTAGTTGTGCTTACTGTGTCATTTTGCAATAATTATATTGTTATGATGTAATAGTTTACTATTGTTAACAATCTTTAGAACTTTAGTTTATTTCAGTCAAGTCAAGTGGTGTGATCATTTTGATAATTTTTATAATTCAATCAAAACGAGAAATATAAAAAAAATATAAATACACAGAAGAAATTTGTTTTCCTTGTCAAATAACGATGATAGCATGAATTTATCTCATCTTGTGATCTGACAAAGTTAATATTTTCAAGTCAAGATATCAATTTTAGTAAACCACAAGAAGAGATAAACATTTCATTTGACAAAAAAAAATCAAGTCTTATATTTTCTTTGTGATCTTCCTGACCTTACTCAGAAAACCATAGTGTCAATGAGGCAGACTGACCGTAGGTGTGACAAAACGTGATATTTCAACTGAATTTAATAAAAATCTTATTTATTTCACTCTAGCGAAAGTATGTTTTCAGCATGGTAAGACTAAACAAAGTATTTCATGATTAAATACATACCGGTAATATAAATATGAAAACGTGTTTCATTAAAACAAGAGTGAATTTCTGTGTGACATTGATAAAAAGAGCTGTAGTACACTGTCATTAAATTGATGCATCTGTTGGTGTCGTGCCTGGTTAGCGAAAATCCAATTTTCCCTAGTATCAGTAAACCGAAAACCCAAGTTGGAGTATTTGTCCTACGAAAGCGAGAAATGAGTAATTGCTATAAAAACACCGGATTACGTAGTAGTTTAGATTAGCGCCCGTGCTGTTCAAGCAGAGGAGAGGAGATTTACTAGAGAGTCGTTTCGTAAAAAATAATACAGTTGGATGTTTAAACACAGGAGAAGAGATGATCAGTTTCTTAATTGAACAAACAATTAGTTTCTTAGTTGATATGGGTTATGATACCGATGAGTTTAGAGGAGAGTCGTTTCTTAAGAATACATACAGTATGTATTTGATGGTACAGTATATAAAGAGTGCTTACTTATTTATCTGTGGTCAAAATGGCTAACGCACAAGTTCGAGTGACCATGGTTGATACCGTGCGAGGTGGTCAGCACTTGTTTTATGAGGGATTCAAGTTTCGTTGTAAGAAAACGGTCCGTGAGAAGAAGTATTGGAACTGCGTTGTTGCTGCCTGCAGAGCGTCGGTGATCACTGAAAACGGCATTCTTCAAGCGGCTTTGCAGGTAAGAAAATAATGCACATGATCTTGATGATAATAATCGTAAGGACATAGACTCAAAAGACTTTGCTCAACAAACTATGACTTGAACACAACGTGTATGCCAGTGCAACCGCAAATTTATTATAGAAAGTATTTATGTATTTACCATTATATTTTAAGATATAAGTTATTGTTTTTGTAGAAATTATAATGTACATCTATGAAATATTAAAGTATTTGAGTTATTAAATTTGTTAAATGTCAAGTACTTCTCCGCAACTATACTATACTTCAGCATCTCATAAATTGCTACTGTGATTACGGTATACGCATTTCTGTGTTTTTCTTGTAATTTGAGAGTCCCGGTATAGCAATATCCCGTGTTTACTGTAGCGTGACCAGTCTTACTGTAGCTTCATGAAAGCGAAGAGATTTTAGAGTTGATTATGGCTAGGTTTCGCTCTTCCGGCCCAGAATATACTGTTTGAGTTTTAGACATATCAGATGAATTGATGCCTTCAAAATTTTCTAAGTAGCATGTAATGTTACACACTGTGATTAATTTTCCTTAAATTTCTCTATTTCAGAAGAATGTTGTTTTCTAAATAAGCAATATTTTGAGAGAAGGTGAATATGCATTGTTTATAAAAAATTATGGAAGTAGAAATATTATTACAATATTAATGAATTATTCATTTCAGGCGGCTTTGAGTCCACTGAGTCAACACAATGAAGTACTAGTATCCGGTGATGGATGTCTGGAGGAGCTTTCTGCTGACAGTAACACACTGGTTACAATGTGCGTCCTGTCAAAGGACGAGGAAGTGAAAAGCCATATTCATTCAATCAACAAATGTGCTTCCTGTCACATTTCACTTAAATAGGACGAGGAAGTGAAAAGCCATATTCATTCAACCAACAAATGTGTTTCCTGTCACATTTCACTTAAATAGGACGAGGAAGTGAAAAGCCTTATTCACTCACAAAACAAAATGGCCACTATTTATCAGACACTAAAAAAGCACATTCTTCCATTTGTTTACAAGCAAGAAAATTATTTTCTCCTGGAATTTAATTAGGTGCTCTTGACTGACAAAGACACCCGGTCCATGTTAGGTTTTGAAAACTTTTATTGTGAGAAATAAAGACATGAAAATTTAGGTTTGTTTTTCTTTATTAAATATGAGAAATCCAGATTGTTCCATCAACAAATTTTGTACCGCTACATATATTTTATCTTGGCTTGATTACTAAATGAAGTTGATTCCTTTTCATCTTTTGTTATTTTATCTGTACTCATATCTGATCAAGACATTTTCAAAATATTCAGGATAAATGTATTAGTAGCTTCCTTTTGATATACAATTACCTTTCATCATACAGGATTAGGTCAGGGTGTTCAAGAAGTTGGTGTTTGTATCAATTCTTATATTTCTTCAATTTCATGCATTATTTATATTTATCAATTTTAAGTTTCCTTTTAACTTATTTTAAACAGTTCACACATAATTACTTTTGTCGTGCACGGTGCAATCTCAATCGGTAATAATCGGTTAAATAAGTGATGTTTGAAGAACCAGTAAAGTATCATCTGTCATTGTATACACTGAATAGAGTTATCGCCCCTTCTGAATATTTATTTTGACACACAAGTTATTTTGTGAACTAATTTCATTGACATCGTGATATGTTCAGATGAAAATCATAGCAGAAAAAGTATTTTTTATCAACTGGACTCATGGCAAAACGACAGTGCGTTGTGCAGCAAACACCACTATGAAACGTGAAATAAACATGATCGATGATCTCGAGTTCGCCAAGCCACGCATTGACTGAGCAAATTTGCAAAAGTACACTGACCTGTTTCATGTTATGTGGTTCATTTACGATACACAACTTCTGTCATTGAATGTACTGTCACATTGTACCTATATGCCGACGAGGTTATGATAAAACAATCTACATGTATTTCTGAAGTACGTATCTCAAAATGCACCTTTCGATTCACTTCCGGGATCCTGACAGCAAAATGCTAACTCCAGTGTAATACAGGCACATTTTAGTTGGACCTCAGGATTAAATGGGAAATATCTTCTGTATTAGATACAAAGGATACCATTTTTTGTATGTTTGAAATGCACAACATGCTGTCTGTTCCCTATCAGCTGATGTGACTCACACTGCATGGAGCTATGCTCTCCAAGCCTCATTTTCGATCCAAGATGGCGAAAGTGTGAAAAAGGTCAATATTGTAATAAAACGGTTTCACCCTGCGAAGTGCATAAACTCACTTGAGCACCTTCATTAAAAACATGAAAAATTTGCAAAATATCTGTACACATACTTTGTAAATCCTGCAATTGACTGAAATCTGCACGTTGAAATCCATGTTGTTTACAAACCGAATGTCCAGTTCATCATGTGATTTTGATTGGACTATGCATAGACTCGTCAGTCCTGTCAAAATGTAACTCCAGAATACCAGCCTAGTTCGGCAAGGGTGGAAATGGACTTACATAGTCAGTTAACGTTTTTGCCTTGGGCAGACGGTCATGTTCATGAATGTGTGCCATGTTCATGAATGTCTGCCATGTTTATGTTTGTTTGTTTTGTTTGTTTGTTGATATGTATCCTTTTTTCAACGGTTAAGAGCATAAAACATATTTTCGGAAGTTTGTCCTGTGCCTTTATTATTCCTGAACACTTCGAAAAATCACAACATTGTTTTCACTCCGTTTGTTTGTTTCTTGTTTAACGCTGTACTCAGCAATATTCCAGCTATATGATGCGGTCTGTAAATATTAGAGTCAGGACCAGACAATTCAGTGATTGACATCATGAATATCGATCCATGCAATTAGGTCGATGACATGCATCAACCAAGTCAGCGAGCCTGACCACCAGATCCCGTTAGTCGCCTCTTACGTCAAGCATGGGTTGATGAAGACCTATTCGTTGCGTTCATGAATGTGTGTCATGTTCATGAATGTGTGTCGTGTTCATGAATTTGTGCCATGTTCGTGAATGTGTCATGTTTACGAATCTGTGTCATGTTCATGAATTTGTGTCTTTTTCATGAATCTGTGTTGTGTTCATGATTGTGTGTTGTGTTCATAAATCTGTGTTGTGTTCATGATTGTGTGTTGTGTTCATGACTGTGTGCCATGTTCATGAATGTGTGTCATGTTTATGAATCTGTGTTGTGTTCATGAATTTGTGTCGTGTTTATAAATCTGTCATGTTTATGAATCTGTCATGTTCATGAATTTGTGTCATGTTCATGAATCTGTTGTGTTCATGAATTTGTGTCATGTTCATGAATGTGTGTCATGTTTATTAATGTCAGGTTCATGAAATGGTGTCATGTTCATGAATCTGTGTGTTGTGTTCATGATTGTGCTGTGTTCATGTGTCAGGTTCATGAATCTGTTGTGTTCATGAATGTGTGTTGTGTTGATTTTTGTGTGCCATGTTCCTGATTGTGTGTTATGTTCATGATTGTGTGTTGTGTTCATGATTGTGTGTTGTGTTTATGATTGTGTGCCATGTTCATGATTGTGTGTTGTGTTCATGAATGTGTGTTGTGTTCATGATTGTGTGTTGTGTTTATGAATGTGTGTTGTGTTCATGAATGTGTGTTGTGTTCATGATTTGTGTTGTGTTCATGATTGTGCCATGTTCATGAATGTATGTTGTGTTCATGATTGTGTGCCATGTTCATGAATCGGTGCATCATGTTCATGATTGTGTGTTGTGTTCATGATTGTGTATTGTGTTCATGATTGTGTGTTGTGTTCATGAATGTGTATTGTTTTCATGATTGTGTGCCATGTTCATGAATTGGTGCATCATGTTCATGAATGTGTGTTGTGTTCATGATTTGTGTTGTGTTCATGATTGTGCCATGTTCATGAATGTATGTTGTGTTCATGATTGTGTGTTGTGTTCATGATTGTGTGTTGTGTTTATGATTGTGTGCCATGTTCATGATTGTGTGTTGTGTTCATGAATGTGTGTTGTGTTCATGATTGTGTGTTGTGTTTATGATTGTGTGCCATGTTCCTGATTGTGTGTTATGTTCATGATTGTGTGTTGTGTTCATGATTGTGTGTTGTGTTTATGATTGTGTGCCATGTTCATGATTGTGTGTTGTGTTCATGAATGTGTGTTGTGTTCATGATTGTGTGTTGTGTTTATGAATGTGTGTTGTGTTCATGAATGTGTGTTGTGTTCATGATTTGTGTTGTGTTCATGATTGTGCCATGTTCATGAATGTATGTTGTGTTCATGATTGTGTGCCATGTTCATGAATCGGTGCATCATGTTCATGATTGTGTGTTGTGTTCATGATTGTGTATTGTGTTCATGATTGTGTGTTGTGTTCATGAATGTGTATTGTTTTCATGATTGTGTGCCATGTTCATGAATCGGTGCATCATGTTCATGAATGTGTGTTGTGTTCATGATTTGTGTTGTGTTCATGATTGTGCCATGTTCATGAATGTATGTTGTGTTCATGATTGTGTGCCATGTTCATGAAGCTGACTCAATTAATACACCTTGTGGTGATGGTATGTTACCTTGGTGATGCCATGTCTACAGATTGTACTCACAACGTAGGGTCGTTCACTGAAGCCGAGTCCCGCCCTGTCATAGATGCACACCTACAACAGATCACACACACAATGGTTTAAATATATTTTTATTTAAAAAGAAATCTGGATCGGTAAACAAGCAAAACTTGCTTAGGTAAATACCTCTCCAGGTAACAACTTAACAACAGCTGGTTATATATAAGATAGTGCTAAACATAAACATACAAAATGCACAAATGAAATACATGAAGCCAATACATTGAAGCCAGTGGTTTCTGTGAAATAAGATAATGCAGTTTCCTATTACTACATGCATATAATCAAGCTACTCAAATCTTTGGCTTTTGACAATGAAATTGTGAACTGATTTAAGAATAGTCGTGTTTGTAGAACTGCTGACTGAACTACTGCCATGTAATATCATTTTTAGATCATACACATGTGTGTAGTGTATCTGATATCACACACACAATAACATGAGACACATCGGACACTTGTTGACAACAGCACTCTCATAATGAGAAACCGTCATACCCTAAAGAATGTGTACTTGTTTGAGAGAAATCATTACCAGAGTCATCCAATGGATGATCCATGCAATGTTTCAGCTTCATGAGAATATACTTCAGTTTCAAACTTCTCCTAACACAACCACAACCAATATGGCCTGCAATCTATTTGTTCAAGACACCAAGGGCTGCAATGATTGAAGACTGTATCTTACCCTGGCATGTTTAGCAAGCTTCGGCCACACCAGCGTCCACACGTCCGAGGTCATCCCTGTAGGGGCATCTAGAATCACTGCAACAAGTACAGTCACTTGTGAGGAGAAGAGCTCAACCATATATGAGCAGATACAACAACTGCTAGCTACCTCTAACTGGTAAATAGTTAGGATATATGTCTACTGTCATCTACCTTGTGGTAAGGCGTGAGTGACAAGGAAACACCTTAACCCCCTGGCAACCCCACCGCCCCTCCACTGGTGAGGAGTGAGTGACAAGGAGACACTTTAACCCCCAGGCAACCCCACCGCCCCTCCACTGGTGAGGAGTGAGTGACAAGGAAACACTTTAACCCCCAGGCAACCCCACCGCCCCTCCACTGGTGAGGAGTGAGTGACAAGGAAACACTTTAACCCCCAGGCAACCCCACCACCCCTCCACTGGTGAGGAGTGAGTGACAAGGAAACACTTTAACCCCCAGACAACCCCACCACCCCTCCACTGGTGAGGAGTGAGTGACAAGGAAACACTTTAACCCCCAGGCAACCCCACCGCCCCTCCACTGGTGAGGAGTGAGTGACAAGGAAACACTTTAACCCCCAGACAACCCCACCACCCCTCCACTGGTGAGGAGTGAGTGACAAGGAAACACTTTAACCCCCAGGCAACCCCACCGCCCCTCCACTGGTGAAGAGTGAGTGACAAGGAAACTCCTTAACCCCCAGGCAACCCCACCGCCCCTCCACTGGTGAGGAGTGAGTGACAAGGAAACACTTTAACAATAGGGGTGTCACGATAAATCGAAATATCAATCATAAATCATATACCAATCAATAGAATCAATTTCAGTTAGGAATATTGATAGTTTTGATTGTATTTACCATATCAATAAAATACATGCAATTCTGTTCAAATTTGTTTTTCTTTTGATCATGAGTGGTAGTAATTTACACATGCTAATGTGGAAGTTTCTTTTCCTTAAATTATTAGGGTAAGGAAAAATCAAATCAGTCATATCTCAAACTTTACTTTTTTGTTGTTGTTGTGGTTATCACATTCAAAGGAAACTTCAGTTCCAAGGTTTAATTCAACTCTAAAATCCATCTAAAATGATACACTGAAAATTATCGATATTTATCACAATAGTTGTTTGCAATATCAATAGTTATCGCAATAGTTTCTTTCAATATCAATAGTTATCGCAATAGTGATTTCTCATCACGATATGGCTCAAGTTTGCCGATGTGGCGTTGAATTTACTCACTCACATTCAGTGTGATTTTAATGAATACCATGAATAAACTGTGACTGGGCCTACCTGTAGGTGGTCCCTTGCCTTCACACATCATGAACAGATTCTGTCCCCAGCCAACATCATACAGCTCACCTGTTCAAACAACAATACATCATACAGCTCACCTGTTGAAACAACAATAATCATAGTTTACCCCTGAAAACAACAATTTACCATACAGTTTACCTGTGGAAACAACAACATGCCATACAGTTTACCTGTTGAAACAACAATACACCATACAGTTTACATGTTGAAAAACAATACACCGTATAGTTTACATGTTGAAACAACAATACACCATACAGTTTACCTGTTGAAACAACAATACACAATATAGTTTACATGTTGAAACAACAATACACCATACAGTTTACATGTTGAAACAACAAAACAGTCAGACAGCTCACCAGTTGAAACAACAATACAATGCCAAACAGCTCACTGGTCAAAACAACAAAACAGTATCATGCAGTTCACTGGTTGAAACATTTCAGTGTCATACAGTTCACTGGTTGAAACATTTCAGTGTCATACAGCTCACTGGTTGAAACATTTCAGTATCATACAGCTCACTGGTTGAAACATTTCAGTGTCATACAGCTCACTGGTTGAAACATTTCAGTATCATACAGATCACTGGTTGAAACATTTCAGTATCATACAGCTCACTGGTTGAAACATTTCAGTATCATACAGCTCACTGGTTGAAACATTTCAGTATCATACAGCTCACTGGTTGAAACTGAACATCATTTTCTAACACCCAAAATTATTTTGTGAATCATATTGTGCATTAAGTGTGTTCAAATGTTCATCATTTTCCATGTATGTCACTTTTATTTGTGGGGGCGTTCAGGTACCCTTGTGGTTAAAGTGTTCGCTCATCACTGAGAAAACCCGGGTTCGATTCCCGACATGGGTAAATGTGTGAAGACCATTTCCTATGTCCCCTGCCGTGATATTGCAGGAATATTGCTAAACGCGGCATAAAACCATACTCACTCACTCACTTTTATTTGTGCCTTCACATACTAAACACTGACACAATTTCTTAAGGTATTAGAAAAGTATTTCTAGTGTGCCTGCTCTCCAGGCCCTGGGAACCTCTTATTACTGTGCCATTACAATTTTAACAGTGTCATCTGAACTAAAATACAAGTAATTTTGAAACTGATCCACATTAGAAGAAAAGTAGGTGACAAGTTGAATAACAATAGAGACATATGTAAGCACATGTGCAACATATTTTAGCTACAGTAAACTATGTTTATAACGAACACACATATAACGAACTGAAGGATATAACAAAATGTTTGTTAAGTCCCATCTATTTGCTGGATATATGCTGTATAGGTATTTATACCAAACTATGAACATAACGAACTAAAATTAGTGGTCCCTTTGACATGTTTGAGTTTGTTATAACCATAGTTTACTGCATTGCAAAATAATGACACTGCACAACTGGAAATTGTACTGCGTCAAGACTACCATGCACATTCCATATTTGTCATATACATGACCATACATGAGATATTCTCGATGGGTAAACATTTCTTTGGCAACGACTCGTATGGATGTGGCTGATCCTTGCTGTACCTGTGGGTTTCAGGGTGCTGTATTCCTTCTGGAGAGAAGCGTAGTTTATGAACGGTGGAATTATAATGAACAGCAGGATGTATTTGAGGGAAGCGATGCATCGGGCTGTCAAACTTCTTCCTTGAGTCTCTGTCACAGACTTCTTGGATTTCTTGACCTTGAAAAAACAAATCCCACCTTGTAGTGTAATCCTCTAACACAGTTTACCAAAGATGTATACTGTATTCGACGTAATAAGTGCCCACGGCGATATTTGCTAATATATTGGCTAGTGAACAATCCCAATTAGCACCCCTTCCGATTGATCAATGTACACAAGACTTATTTATTCGCGTATAATACGCACTCGTGTGTTATATACTCCCTTAATTATGGGCAATAAATATCTGGAAAAATATATCTGTCGTATATAAACATTTCAGGCTGTCAGCATAATCCACGAAATTTATCCTTTAACTCTGTTTTTTTCACCAAAATAATATTCTAATAAGAGCCCCCTATTTCTAATTTTGAAAGCGCCCTGGGCGCTTATTACGTTGAATACGGTATACGTGTTTGAGTTCACCCTAGACCCATATACTCCTGTACACAGCATGACATTACTAATGAACAAATTCAAATACTATATCCCAAGACTAATTATTGCATTAAGATTTGCAGTTCTCACAATGCTTTGCCTTAAAAACGTCAGCACATTTTATCATAAATTTCTGTTATTATTATAGGATCAACGGACTGCAACATAATAGCATACATTTTATCATAAGACTAACAACCTCATTAAATATTTAAAGGGATATCTGAAACATTTTTAACAGTGAATGTTAGGGGTGACCTTGCCAAGTCCCGCAACCGGGTCCTACATTTAAGACATTACCCTACATCATCACGGCTCTCGTCTAGGTGTGACCAGTAGACATTTCAACTACTGCATTTTTAGTTGGTTTGCTGGTTTGTTGTTTAATGCCGCACTCAGCAATATTCCAGCTATATGGCGGCGGTCTGTAAATAATCGAGACTGGACCAGACAATCCAGTGATTAATATCATGAGCATCGATCCATGCAATTGGGATTGATAACATGCATCAACCAAGTCAGTGAGCCTGACCGCCCGATCCCGTTAGTCGCCTCGTACGACAAGCATAGACACCTATTATGGCAAGTATGGGTTGCTGAAGACCTATTCTATCCCAGATCTTCACGGAAACTGCATGTGATACAGTTAAACTACAGATAGGATCGATGAGTAAATGTACTCTCCTGCAATGAAACCAAAGACCGAGAGAAGAGAGATTACGCAGCAGTGTACTGTAAAACAAATCTGTACCTACTACCTATAGGTAACAATTTTAACTGCTCTTCACATTGTCAGGTCCTGATTGTCGTAATCTTGAATTTATTCATGACCCTCTCAATTGGGCTATTTTCAGATTTCGGCAGGACTTCCGCCCGTATCGCCACATACATGATTAATAGGATTGAGCGGCAAAGCATACATATATAATTTTTGGAGGGGGAAACGGGCGGAAGTCTTTCCTAGATTTCATCACAATCACACCTCGCCGGACCAGGCCGACCCGGCGTCTAGTCAGTGAATTAATCCACCGCGTTGTGCAAAGTGCCTTACATGTTTCTTGTCGTTGCTACTACTGGCCGAGTCCTCATCTTTGTGTTCCTTGTGTAATCTTCCTGCTAATAACGGTGGTGCTGTTGTCGGCCTTCTCCTGGGAGGCATTACTAGCTGTGATCAGTGTTTACAATTACAACACGTGGACAGGAAGGGCTTTCCCAGAATGGCCTCGCTTTCGTTTGGAGTTCCCTACTTCCGTATTTATGAACGCAATCAAACACGTGTGGGTACTTAGACTAACATATTATTGAAGATCTTGTACCCGAAATAATATAATGCATATCGTCACCAAATTATTCAATAAAAGAACCCTCGGGGATGAAGGAACCACTCAGTTGAGCTGAAGAAGGGATGAGAGTTGAATTGGGGTGAATGTTCATGTAACACTTTCCCACGATACCCCCTCCTCCCTCCTTCCAAAATCTTGTTCAAATTTATATTATTATTTTATTTGACGAAATGGAACTGTGTCATTTTTGTCATGCTCCTCACCCACTCAAATGACTTGGTTCACGCATGCCATCGTGTCCCAATTGCGTCGATCGATGCTCATTGTGTCAATCACTTGATTGTCTGGTCCAGACTCGATCATTAACAGACCGTCGCCATATAGCCGTAATACTGCTGAGTGCGGCGTTAAACAACAACAACAAAAACACATCAACGGATCTTCTCTATTAAAACGCGGCAAAGTGTCAAAATATATTTCAGTTGCCACATGAACCTGGCGATTCCACAGTTGCAAGTTGTACCCAAAAGAGTTCACAAAACTGCTTGTGGGGTTTAAAATTATGTAACATTATGATTAAACTTTAATAACTTTAAATCATATATAGTGTGTATGAACCAGCATGGCAGCTATTTTAAGAAATATGTATAGATAAATCTTCTCTCTTGTTAAAACATCTAGGAAAACTGAGACATGAAACTGTTATGCATAACAACTTCTTTATCGTTTGTAACTACGATTCAGAGCTACTTCTTCCCCATCTTCCCGGGGCAAGGGAGTTAATCGACTGTAAAAGTCCAGTTTCGACCCTTGCCGAACTAGGCTTGAATGATGATGGTGTTATATTTTGGCTGAACTAACGAGTCTATGTAGAGTTCAATCAAAATCGCGTAACGAAGTCGACATTCGGTTCATAAACAAATGGCGACTGCCGCGCAGATTTCGGTCGATTGCAGGTTTTGCAGAGCATTTGTACCGTCAACTGGGCGTCGACAGATGGTTTCGAAACCTTTGCGTGTTTTTGTCAAAGCGCTCAAGTAGTTTAATGCGCCTTGCGAGAAAAGAGCGCGCCTTCGGGGCAAAGCGAGAAAGCGTTACCGCCCCTTATCAGCCGTCAGATGGCGTGATTTTAAGTGATCATCCAATTGGAGCAGACGTTAAGAAGCGCCAAAAACCACGCTGACGCCATATGTACGAGTAGTGAAGGTACGTTTCTAAAAATACGAAAAAATGTGATTTTGCTGTAAGGAATGTACATATTTTATTGAGAGAAAACGTAACATGATATCCAAAACATTTGTGCATTTGCAAAACATTTGCAAAACATATTGGCATCAAGTATCTTTTGGGAGTTAATATGCGACAGTTCGAGACCCAGTAATTATGTGTTATTTAATTATCCAGTGATACTGTCATTGGGGTAAAAGGAGCCCGGGGGTGCGGTTTGCCCCTATGATCTGATTGATTTTGTTTATTTTTCAGGATGTTGGTAGATGGTCTGGACAAATTTGTCAGTGGGGGAAACATTATATATCAACTGACAAAAAGAGAATTTGGACAAACAAAAGCTTCATCTCGGGGAATTTCAAACAATTATCTTTGTATATTGTTAACGAAACTCTTTTTTTCCGAACCCAACGATGACAATCAGATGAACATTGTTTTTCTGCTGATTAATCTGACTAGAAGCCATACTGACTTTGGTGAAAAGTCAACTGAGGCACTGAGAGAGATTTTTACATCACACAACTTCGGGCCTGAGCAGGATCCCTTGTCAGTTATTGAATGTGCACGAAAGTACCTTAGAAGTGTTTCTCCACTCATAGATTGCCAGTACATCTATATTTGCCAAGACTACTACCTTATCGTGGCCTAGGTTGATGACTTGCGAATGTAGACTTGCGAATGTAGAATGTAACCCTGGGTTATTAGGCAGATTTAGGAAGGTATTCAATGATACATTCGAGTCTGAACTAGTTTCTCACATTCTGCGTATGCAACGGATGTTTTACGGATTGACCTCCACTGACTTTCGTTCATTGGCCTTTACACTTGCAGAACAAAATGGCCTTGACCACCCTTTTAACAAAGCAACACGGAAGGCTGGGGAAGATTGGTTGAAGGGCTCTATGCAGTGACATCCAGATTTATCCATCCGAAAGCCGGAAGCTACCAGTATATCCAGAGCTGTTGCTTTTAATAGACCATCTGTGAAAATCTCTTTCAGCCTCCTCAAGGCCGAGATGGAGAAGCATTCATTTCAGCCAGATTCAATCTGGAATATGGACGAAAGTGGTATTACCAATGTCCATTGTCCACGGAACATTTTGGCAAAACGGGGGCGAAAAACAAGTGGGAAAGGTCACGAGTTGTGAAAGGGGAAGAACTGTGACTGCGATCTGTTGCATGAATTCATCTGGCACCTACATACCTCCTATCCTTATATTCCCCCGAAAGAGAATGTCGCCTGCTTTGATGAAGGGAGCACCATCAGGGTCTATTGGAAAGGCAAGTGATAATGGATGGATTAACCATGATCTGTTCCTCTGTTGGCTTGAGCATTTTGTTCAGTATGCAAAGCCATCTCAAGACCGAAAATGCTTGCTCATTCTGGATGGACACAGTAGTCACAAAACTCTAGAGGCTGTCAACTATGCACGTGATCATGGAATTGTCATTATTGTGTTACCTCCACATACCACTCACAAGCTGCAACCCTTAGACAGGACATTCTTTGGGCCTCTCAAGGCTAACTACAACAAAGAAGCTGACAAGTGGATGCTAACGAACCCAGGCAGTAGAGTTGCATTCTTTGACATGGCACAATTGTTCGGCGCTGCCTACACAGTGATGGCAACCATGCTGAAAGTAACCAATGGCTTTACCTGCACTGGGATATGGCCCTTTAACCCGGATGTTTTCACTGATGACGATTTTGCAGGCTCCGCTGTTACAGATGAACCCGAGCCTGAAACACAACTTGCCCAAACAGCCTTGCCTCAAGACAATCCTGGGTCAGGACCTAGGGTAACATCCGATGCCATATTGCCACAAGACAAGCCAGGTTCAGGGCCTGGAACATTCGATGCCGCATTGCCACCAGACAAGCCAGATTCAGGGCCTGGAACATCCCATGCTGTATTGCCACCAGACAGGCCAGATTCAGGGCCTGGAACATCCCATGCCGTATTGCCACCAGACAAGCCAGATTCAGGGCCTGGAACATCCCATGCTGTATTGCCACCAGACAAGCCAGATTCAGGGCCTGGAACATCCCATGCCGTATTGCCATCAGACAAGCCAGATTCAGGGCCTGGAACATCCCATGCCGTATTGCCACCAGACAAGCCAGATTCAGGGCCTGGAACATCCGATGCAGTATTGCCACCAGATAAACCAGGGTGACATGCATCAACTCTTACAGAACTGACTGCAGGTCCTTCAGACGAACCCCAACAAGATGTAAGAAGACCCACAGAAAACGTGTAAATACATTTATAGCTATGAGTAAGTATTTCACACCATCATTGTCCGAGGCTATATTAGATACATCAGCCAAGTCAATATCCCATCGAGCATTTAGGCCTGAAGCCACCACTCTGTTCCGCTTGAACTTGTATCTTAAAGGTCGCTGAAGCGAATAGGCATCTTGGGATGTCAACCACTTCTTTATGTGATGCAAACTAATATCAAATTCCCCCTCCTTTTTCACAATGTGATACAACTTAGCAGGGCCAGTAAAGGAGGCTGGGTGTTTGGGATTCAAATAAATACTAGACAAATATGCTTTCCATCCGTCAGCAGGCATGGTTACACGTGAAATGAAGCCTACGCGATGTAAACAAGGCTTATATATGTTTATTCACTACATAGCCTATAAAAACTACAGAGACGGGCCTAGGTTACCTTCAATAACAAACGTGCTTGTGTTTTTATGTTAACCCGTGGATACAGAGGACTGCGCTGCCTTCCTCAAAGGTTTGTTTACACAACTGATTGCCTTCAGTGGACAATGCTGGTATGTGACCTAGTTTATCACTCTGTTTACAGTAACAAAACAATTCTCCTTTACCTATGCAACTAATGTAAACATAGAAGAACTGACAACATTGCTTCCTCACTATTTCAAAGGAATTTCATACATACTATTCTACAGATTTTGATACTTATTAGTCCATGTTTAAATGTGTAACCGTTGATCTGTCTATAGCGCGGGGATTCCCCTCCACACCTGGCAATCTCATTCGGTCGTTTCCTGTGACGTCATCGTGCATCACCGGTGAAGTGATGTGATTCTGTCAGTTAGTATTCATCACCCAGCATATTTATCATAATAGAATTGATACATAATGCCCTGGATAATCGAGGACTATCTAGTTTGGTAACAGTGTAAGAATCTACATAGAAACGTTGCTATATGCCATACACGAGAAGTTGTTATCCATAAAGTTGTATTTTTCTTATTCTTTTTTTTTCTTTTTCTTTGAGTGTGTGTGTGTGTGTGTGTGTGGGGGGGGGGGGGGGGGGGGGGGGGGGGTAAAAAGGGCCGGTCGGCTCGGAGTCAGTATGCTGAATTTTGCCCTGGCATCTCAGTGGGCATCATTAGTCCGGGCTAGTACAAGCAGCCACGCACACACGCAAGCACAAACACACATGGGGGCGGTCGGGTAGCCTAGTGGTTAGAGCGTTCGATCGTCACGCCGAAGACCCGTGTGAAGCCCATTTCTGGTATCCCCCGCCGTGATATTGCTGGAATATTGCTAAAAGCGGCGTAAAACCATACTCACTCACTCACTCACTCACTCACAAACACACATAGCGAGAGAGCGATACACACAAAAAAAAAACAACGTGCATGCTCGTTGCTCTGGATGTTCAATAATCCTTAAGAACGGGACTCGGTTTGACGTCACTCTATAAATAGTACCACGTTTGGGTCAATTCCTTTCTTGTCAAGTCATCAGGTCAGCTCCAGTTCCTATTAGTCTGTGACACTTGGCTTTCCCACTACCGAAATCAAATATAGAACTGACGTGGGCGCATATATTAACTTATAATTTGATTGGTCCACCCGTTTTAGTGTCACGTTATTGTTTCCTTGTCATTGGTCGGTAAGTGCCAAGAGAGAAGCCCTCCTTGTCAAGTTGAGTCCTCCTTGTAAACAAGAGCTGTTAGGCGAGCAGCGGAACACCCACCCACACCATAAGCTGTGCAATAATATATGATATGAATACGACAGCATCTTATAAATAATATCACCGTCTTTGTTTGGGTAAGGATGACGAAGTTGCGTAGTCTATCATTCTGAAATAAGGATGAACTTCGAGGGCTTAAAAGCAACATGAACAATATTTCTTTCAATTTATTTCCTGTTTGAAATCTTAAACTATGATTTTGACAACTATGCGATTACCTCCTTTATATAGTAGCATATTCAGACCGAAACAAGGTCAAACCGCCTTTCGTTTATGACGAACCGGCACGTAGGCTCTGTCTCCCCCTCATTATTATGGTCATCTTTCTAACAAATATCATGCATTTCAGGGTTTACATTAAATTAAAACTAGACAACTAACAAAATATCGAGAATTTTAAGCACTACGAGACAAAAAATAATTGTTAACAAAAACATAGAAAAGCATGCACTTTCCATTCAATTACCCATAAGGCCATATTTCAATTACCCATACAGTGTTAATGTTACAAATAGACAAGTAGAGATTGCAGAAGTGAATCAGTTGTTCCCCGCCATGACATATACTGTCATGTGCAGAGGAAGGAAGTGTAAGCAATGGGAGGAGAGGATTGGTGTAAAGTTCAAATGGTTGTTATTAATGTAGTTATCTTTGGAAAGCACAAAAAAAGAAACAGTGTCTTTAAATGGTCAGCACAAGGAAAACCCAGGCAAGAAAACTGGGCCTGTCAGGCAGAACTTGATATATTCCCACTATTAGAATCAATAATATAAAAAATAACTGATTACAAGTTCTATATATATAACACAAAAAATGCCTTTCTTATACATGCTTTGGCAGCAAATGTCAATATTTCTGGTCAAAATGTTGGTTGGGTTAAATAAAATTAAACTTTGAAATAGTAAATACAAATAAATGTAATGAATCCATTGAAATAGACTTCAGTCAAAATTTCGAAATATGTTCACCCATTCATTAAGGGATTCCGATTTATCCAACAGCATGTTAAGAACATACAGGCTGGTCAAGTCTTCTATGCATATTGATAATTGATATTGTAAAAACAAAGCTCAAAGGTCACATTTCTCAAAACTTTGTTTAAGTAATCACAATCTAAAAAATGAAACTAGTAACGGGATCGGGTGGTCAGGCTCGCAGACTTGGTTAATGCATGTCATCAATCCCAATTGCGTGGATCGATTCCTATGATGTCAGTCACTGGATTGTCTGGTCCAGACTCGATTATTTACAGACCGCCGTCATATAGCTGGAATATTGCTGAGTGCGGCGTAAAACAACAACCAACCGACCAACCTTGTATGTTCAACATTACCATAGTTTTGCTCAATTCTCATATTGTTTCTATGTCATTATAAAACATTGTTTCAAAATAAACTTGTTATAATGTACCTTTGTTTGTTGAATGTACCTGTGTGTTTTGCACTTATTGTGCGTATATTTTGTAGTTTGTGATAGTGTAATATTGCCACTGTTTCTTCTTGGAATGTTACGCAATACATATCTCATCTAAAACATCTTTGTTGTATGATAGTTTGTTACAGTTGTGTTCGGGTGTACAGTTGGCCCAATCACCTGCTATTCTCTATGCAGAGTTGTGTCCCTTGGGCACGCCAGAAACCTATGTCCAGATAAGGTCACTCTTATTTCATTTTAAAAACTTCAAATTTTTCAGAGAAACTACAATGGCGCTCTACTTCATTCAGAAATAAACTACTTTTTATATTAGAATAATAATAATAGTTATTCATAATGTAATATAAACACAGACACATTTAGAAGTAAAACATGGCGCGTTCGAATGCATTATTCTTTCACTAGTTCCACTTTTATATGCTTCAGTATTGTTGCGCCTTGCATTATTCTTCCCTGCCCTAAAGACCAAAGGGTGTGTATGAGTTTGTTTGTTTTTGACTGAAGGAGAGCGCCATATTGGATTCTCTGAAAAATTTGGAGTTTTTAAAATGAAATGAGAGTGACTTACATTCTTTGATTGAGGAATTCTTTTTGATGTAGCTAGTCCATGCAAATTGTACACTTTGTTTTCAAAAGAGCTAAAAATGTTTAGGGGAAATATATCTCCTTTCGCTGAAGATAACCAGTCTATATTTTGTAGGAATAAACTATTGCCCATTGAGCGATTATCTCCTGTATCTATAGGCGTAGTAAACAGCTTTATCGCGCACTGACCTTACAATGCTGTACATCGTATCTGATTCAAGCTGTAAACTACCGCGGGTTTGGAGAGTGAGTGGTTATCCCCCTTACCCGAATAGCTCTATTGCACACTACCTTTGCAATGTATCTTATGTTATTCAGGCAGCCAGCGAGAAACCGTCAGGGAGGAGGCTCGCTGACTTTGTTGATGCATTCGTGGATCGATGATCATGATGTCAATCATTGGATTGTCTGGTGCAGACTCGATTATTTACAGACCGCTGTCATACGGCTGGAATATTACTGAGTGCGGGGCTAAACAACAAACCAACAAACAAAAATATGTTGGGTTGAACATAGTAACATTCTTCAAAACACACTTCAGAACATAAAACAAACCCAGTTAACCAAACGGAACCGTACATAAGAGTAATGGGTTTGATGCCGCTTTGAATAGAATTCCAGTTATATCACGGCGTGTCCGCTTGATATGGGAGGAAAGCCCAAAGTGATGTAGGTCTTAGATGTTCACCACTTTGGTGAAACCCAGGAGAACGTGTATGGTGCTGACAAACCAAGAAACATAATTGGGGCGAACCGGGATTCGAAAACGCTGTCATAGGTCACAACCCTGTATAGCGGATTGTAGCGCCTTAGGCGACTCGGAGACAAACTATCGTACAACAAAGATGTTTTAGATTTTATTTATTGCGTAACTTTCTATGAGTAACGGTGGCAATATTTCACTATTACAAACTAAAAAATATATGCACAGTAAGTACAAAAAACACAGGTACATTCAACATACAAAGGAGGTACATTATAACAAGTTTATTTTAAAACAAATGTTTTATTATGGTATGGAAATCATATGAGAATTGATCAAAACTATGGTAAAGTTGTAAATACAAGGAATTGTTTGAAAATATTAAGAATAGTTCCTTTGTGCAGAGTGTACCGACTTCTTTATCATGACTGAGGATTATCAGTGGAAGTGATTCTCTTTTTAGGTTGTATTTTACACAAGACAGTGCATAGCTTTGCTCATCTTCTCAGACATTACATGTTTCAAAGAGACGTTGTTCCAGTAGGTTGGTGTTTTTTGTATATCTTCCAGTTTGAACTTTTAGTTTGTGAAAACTTAAACGGAGGTTTGAGAAATGTGACCTATGAGCTTTGTTTTTACAATGTGTAAGATAATTCTTAATATTTACAGATGACTTGACCAACCTGTATGTTCGTCACTTGCTGTTGGACATGAGGAAATCCCTTAATGAATATGTTTTGACATTTGGACTGTTTATTTACAGTAGATTCATAATATTTATTTGTGTTTACTATTTCTAAAGTTTGTTTTATTTAACCCAGCCAACATTTTGACCAGAAGATTGATATTTGCTTCCAAACCATGTTTAAGAATGACATTTGTTGTGTAAATAGGACTTATTGGTACTAATAGTGGGTATATAACAAGTTCTGCACGACAGTCCCAGTTATGTGTTACGTGCCAACTCTTAGTAATGCTTTACAAAACCTTTCTGGAAGAAGTGCATCAATATTTACACCCCAAACAATTATATTACACGATTGGTTCTATAAGGGCAATATGATGACTAACTTGACCGGGATGTCGATTTTGTCCTTTATTCCCCCAAGACCTTATTCGCCGTCAACATGATACCCCATGTTCCTTGAAAACAATAACAAATGTTTTCTACTTTTATATTACATAAATGTTTAAACTGAAATAAATCATATTCTCATTTCTGATTCTGAAGGTACGACATGCAAATTACAAATTTTGTTATGTTCTGGGTTATACATGTGCGCTTTGTCAAGTTTCCTTCTTTCCACGCCTCAAGGAGCGGGGAGACCAGGCGGGAAAACGATGCAGTTCGGTGGACAGAGTTGCGCCACGAAGCCGTGTAAATATTCAAACAATCTGAGATTCGTTTATGATCCCTCGTCTTTACACTCACCACACACATATATACAACGCACGCACGCACGCACGCACGCACGCACGCGCGAGCGCGCGCGCACACATACAGAGAAACACACACGCGCGCGCGCGCTTCCAAAGCCGAAAATAGTACTTTGGAAAAGGAAGAGCGATTTGTGACGGCAATTCATCTGCGAACGCTCCCATAAACGATGATAAGGTCTTATTGTCACGGGTACATTATTAGGAGAGACTATACCTGAATGATAGCCACACAATGACTTTCTACAATAATCAGACAAGCATCGTTATGTTTTTATTTTCCTTATAGAATGCAATGGGTTCCAATTTACCAGCTGCTCGGCAGGAATACATGGAGGCCCTGGTTGCAAGTTTGGTGGAAGGAGAGGTGTTGTCTGACTGCACCAGTGATCATCTGAAACAGCTGGGGGTGGACTTGATGAAAGGATTGGAGCAGAAGTACCGTCATGTTGGGGAAGCCATGCTTCAGACGAGGGGTTGCCTCGACAACCTACAAACATTGTATCTGGAGGCAGAGGACGAAGCCCTCGCACAGTTCCATGCGCGCATTCAGTCGGTCACAACTTCCGGTCACGCTGGTAGGTCACATTTGTGAATACTTATTCTAATCAGAGACCATATAATTATATGGTCTCTGTTCTAATACAGGACAGAATAATTATAAGAATAGCGTTGGCATTACAAACTGCGAACATTCCATCGTTTTTGGCCTGGATTTTAGATTACCTTGCTCAAATTGGGGGGGGGGGGGGGGGGGGTGCCGTCACTGATTGACCTTGGCAGTCTATTGATTGTGTGGAAATGTATTGTATGACGTTTGACACCTGTTCATACTCAACCTTGTTCCCACTTCGTGGACTTGCGCATGCAGTCTTGCCATTATCATCTCCTCACAGTTTTCTATCTGACAATAAGCCGATGTACGCCGCAATGGACCGACCGAGTGGGGACATATGTTTAAAATTCTATTTAACACGCCCAGCGTTTTCGAGTATTATTATTTCTACATTTCTGTGTTTTTCTGTCCACAGTGGATGCCCATGTTCACCGCAGAGCTATTCAGTCTTGCTACACTGACCTTGTTAGAAATATTGACATCAAGAACACCACTTTGTCAGATGAGTTTGTCGCTCAAGGAATCATAGATGCCGCGGACGCCGACTCACTGACAGGGATAAAGTCAACAAAAGCTGCGAACGAAGCCTTCCTGAAACGAGTTTGCATTATGTTTGCATTTGAACAATTTATGGATACATTTCTCCCAACTCTGACCCCATATGTGCCAGAAAGTATTGAAAAGAAATTAAGAGATCTGACCGATCCAGAAGTCTCCCGATCAGTTGTCGACAGATGCCCGGTATGTCAGGTGAAAGCCTACGTCAACCCAAGAGACATAGTTGACAAATTGCTGGAGATGACAGCCATTTTACCCAACCTTCACACAGACCTAAAGAACCCGACTCTCAGTTCGGAGTCCAGATGGGAACGCATCATTGATGTTGTGAAACAACCAGGACAGATCGTAGAGGCCTTGCGGAATGTTCTGCCGTGTCCTGTCTTCCAGGAATTCGACCTCGAAAGAGTCGACGCATTCGTCTGCAGATGTCCAACCTCAGAAGAAGAGAGTGGTATGGCTGTTGAGATGGAGGATGCTGAACAGACAGTTCCAAAAAGTCAGCTTGGTGAAAGAAACAGTGGGACAGACAATGAAGGTACCTCAAAACACCCAAAACGTTTTGACCTCATAACACCATGGCATGCTTATAGCACAAATACAACAATAATGACAGTAGATGCAGTTTTATTTAGCCCAAACTTTATCATGTAAGTACAGGAAACGTTGGCTGGTAATTCCCTCTGCCAGGATTTGATGATCGTGGGTTTGGATCGTAGATTGCCCGGATTATGACACTAGGCTTGTCAGCAACATGCCCATGCTTTTGGGTTTCAACAAAGTAGTAACGCGCCCCATGTGGCTTTCCTGACACTTAAACTGAAGTATGGTTTTAAGAGGCTTTAAATCAAACTCAGTCACACACTCACTCACTCACTCACTCACCTACCCAGTCTTGTCTGTCAAAGCTCCGCGGTTAATTCGTGGTTAGGCATTTATATCTAGAATGGCACAATGATATTGCTGGAATATTGCTAAAAGCGGCGTAAAACCATACTCACCCACTCACTCACTCAAACCGAGGAAATCAAAATTTCTAATGCCTTAACAATAGGTTTACCCTTCCAACATGTGGATATATATAAAGCACATATGAATATTTGCTAGCAGTAAGCTCTTGGCGTTGTGAATGTTATTTCAGAAAGCCTTGGAAAGGTCTTGAATTATGTATGGTCACTTATAAATCTTAGGAAAGCATTGTAATAGGGTATTTTAATTGACAGGACGATATTTGGCTTACACTAGTTTTTGATTGGGTGAATATTTTTTCATGCCGCAGATGGAAATAACTCGTTTGCTTCTTATTTATATAAATTGTTTGATAGGCATTACTTAGAAGTTGACGGATGACAAGATAGACACAATTTTTATGGATAACAACTTCTTTTATACTGGGAAAATTGTGTCTATCTTTATTTATATAGCAAGCTCAACATCGATGATAAAACAACATTAAAAGAGAATGTGTACTCAAAGATCCAAAGACGTCACAACCCACGTCCTCTTATTGCAATCTAACAAACCACGTCTTTCTACTTTCATATATACTTAATTCCGAATAATTCTCGTTACAGACTGCCATGCCCACAGGATCGGTGTTCAACGGGTGCATCGCCTATTGGTTACTTCCTTGCAAGACAAAGGGCCTGAATTATTTAAGAAGTTAGTTGAAATAAATGCCCTCAAGGATTGCGACGTTGCGTCACTGGCAGCGATGTCGAATGGAAAGATGCAAGCTGAGGCTACACTAAGAATTGTCCAGAACACGCTTTCGTTTGGACAGTTTGTGGAGAAGTTCTTGCCCGTTATATCTACATCCTGTCCCGAGTCAGTATATGGAGATCTGCTCACATCCGTTTGGGTAAGCAGGGCCAATCTTCAACCTATCACATGTAACGTGTGCCAGACCAGAGATAGAATTGACCCCAAACGACTTGCAGATATCTTCTTAGAAACTGAAAGTATCACCGTGAACGTGCACAGTGACTTGAAAACAAGTGGACTCAGTAAAGAACATAAATGGGACATCATCTGCAAGAAGGTTCCGGATGACGTCATCCTTGCAGCTCTGAAGGAACAGTATCCTGGTTTCTTCAAAGACGCTCACCTAGCAGATGTCACCATGTTTGACTGTCACTGCGACAATGGCACCCTAACCGACACCCTCACGGACATCGCCTGCATGGATGACGTGGAAAGTGTTGGCGGTGAGTATGTCCTTGAGTGAGTTAGTGAATGTTGTTAGACGCCGCAGTCAGCAATATTCAAGCTAAATTATGGTGGTCTGAAAACTATCTCACCTGTACCAAGTACACTAGTGGGTGATAGCATACAGTCAGTCACATCGCACGCTGTGACCACAAGAGTCAGATTTAAGTTCTCTCTTACAAGTGAAGATCCGGGTTAGAAATGGCCGCCAGCAACCCATGCCCGTCATTAGAGACGACTATTGAGATCGGATGATCAAGCTTGGTTGATTTAGGAAATAAACATACTGTGTTTTCAATGTAGAGCTAGGTTACCTGTAGATTTAACCGCGCTAAATTGAATTTGGAACCGAATGCGTATGATTATCTGGTCCAGACTCGATTAATTACAGACTGCCGTAACATAGCTGGACTATTGCTGAATGCGGCGTTAAACAGCAAAACACACACAAACACACACACAATGACTTCAGCTAACGTTTTGCGTCCTTTTCAGGTGCCTCTTTAACCGAGTCCCCAGAGGAGATGGATGTTGACATGAAGATGGTGGCACAGGCGACACGTTTGAGGTCTGACCAACATGACACAAGAATACAAGAGATATTTCAGTTGCACTGCAATAAGTCCTCCGAGAAAACGGAAACTGATGGAACACACGTGCCCGCTTCACGTGGACAGGATGACAAGCACAACAAAAGAACATCTTCGGACGCTTCACGTGGACAGGATGACAAGCACAACAAAAGAACATCTTCGGACGCTTCACGTGGACAGGATGACAAGCACAACAAAAGGACATCTTCGGACGCTTCACGTGGACAGGATGACAAGCACAACAAAAGAACATCTTCGGACGCTTCACGTGGACAGGATGACAATCGCAACAAAAGGACATCTTCGGACAAAAGGACTACGTTTTACTCGCGAACGAATAGGTCAACAAGCACCGACAGAAAGGCTGTCGTCACATCTATTGATGACCTGGAACTCTATGTCTACTACGATCGGAATGGATTCTTCACACGTTTCTACAAATATCTGAAGGATAAATGGGCTCGACTTGCAGGGGCAGGACGTGAACAGCCGAGACTCTTTGACTTCGATGCATATATATTGTATAGTGAGGAAAGATTTGACTTAGTGAGGAAGCTTCTCGGTCGTGATGAACTTTCAGAATTCCGGTTCTGCGTAAAAGATCGGGATTTCCAAGTTGGATGTCTTATTGTAAATAACATTTTTGAAAGTATTGAAAAGAGTCGTACTGTTATTGTGATAAGAGATAAATGTCTTGGCACAAGTGAATGGGAAGGATTTGAAGCAAGTGTAGTATGTCGAGCTAATGCTCGGTTCAAGACAAGGGTTCTAAACATTGTTTATGACAACGCAACAAATCCCAACATACTTCAACAACTCTTCAAGATAGGGCTCACCCTCTCATTCCCACAGTCGGAAGATAAACAGGAGTCATTTTGGAAACGTGTTGCTAATTTCTTACACGATGACAGTCTTCGTTCTCCATATTTTTAAGATGACCCAGTACAGTTTGTCGATTTCACCGAAAGTAGGTGAATTCAGGCAACACGCACTATGTAGGCTGTGACTGAACCTGACGACAACATGATCCATGAAGAATGTGACTGTACCTGGCAACATGATCCATGAATACTGCGAATGTACCTGACAACATGATCCATGAATACTGTGACTGTACCTGGCAACATGATCCATGAAGACTGTGACTGGACCTGGCAACATGATCTATGAAGACTGTGACTGTACCTGGCAAAATGATCCATGAAGACTGTGACTGTACCTGGCAACATGATCCATGAAGACTGTGACTGGACCTGGCAACATGATCCATGAAGAATGTGACTGTACCTGGCAACATGATCCATGAAGACTGTGACTGGACCTGGCAACATGATCTATGAAGACTGTGACTGTACCTGGCAACATGATCCATGAAGACTGTGACTGTACCTGGCAACATGATCCATGAAGACTGTGACTGTACCTGGCAACATGATCTATGAAGACTGTGACTGAACCTGGCAACATGATCCATGAAGACTGTGACTGTACCTGGCAACATGATCCATGAAGACTGTGACTGTACCTGGCAACATGATCCATGAAGACTGTGACTGTACCTGGCAACATGATCCATGAAGACTGTGACTGGACCTGGCAACATGATCCATGAAGACTGTGACTGAACCTGGCAACATGATCCATGAAGACTGTGACTGTACCTGGCAACATGATCCATGAAGACTGTGACTGAACCTGGCAACATGATCCATGAAGACTGTGACTGGACCTGGCAACATGATCCATGAAGACTGTGACTGTACTTGACAACATGATCCATGAAGACTGTGACTGGACCTGGCAACATGATCCATGAAAGCTGTGACTGTACCTGGTAACATGATCCATGAAGACTGTGGCTGTACCTGGTAACATGATCCATGAAAGCTGTGACTGAACCTGGCAACATGATCCATGCTGGTAGTGGCTGCTTTTAGCTATATGATACGTGAAAACTATGCCTGACTTTTATGGTAGACATGTGGAGGACATTTCCACATTTGACGCATCAGTGACAAAGATGATGATCAGTGCAATTCCCTATTTTGACTTGTACCATATGCTTCCGTGTTTTTTCAGGTTAACAATTGACTCGCCTTTGCGCGTGTTTGTGGTGGGGGCCACCGGTGGATCAGGATACGCTCACCTTTTCGCGAACACCTGGTACCATCATTATTTGATAGTGATTCATAAACACAGGCACATGATATAGTCGAAATTGTACAATCGGTTTTGGCAGAGAATTCTTTTGCATATGGAAAGTGCTTTTATTTACCTATAATATGATGCATGAAGGATGGCTGATTTTAGCCAGTTGATGTTTGATTACTGTGACGGATTTTAGCTATTTCATGCTTGATGACTCACTGATTCTAGCTCTTTGATACTTGATGACTGACTGATTTTAGTTATATGATGCTTGATTACTGTAACGGATTTAAGCAATTTAATGCTTGATGACTGTTACTGATTTTACCTATTTAATGCTTGATGACTGTGACTGATTTTAGCTATATGATGCTTGGTGACTGTGACTGATTTTAGTTATATGATGCTTGATGACTCACTGATTTTAGCTATATGATGCTTGATGACTCACTGATTTTAGCTCTTTGATGCTTGATGACTGACTGATTTTAGCTATATGATGCTTGATGACTGTGACTGATTTTAGCTATATGATGCTTGATGACTGTGACTGATTTTAGCTATATGATGCTTGATGACTGTGGCTGACTTTAGCTATATGATGCTTGATGACACTGATTTTAGCTATTTAATGCTTGATGACTGTGACTGAGTTAAAATATATGATGCTTGATGACTCACTGATTTTAGCTATTTAATGCTTGATGACTGTGGCTGATTTTAGCTATATGATGCTTGATGACTGTGACTGAGTTTAGTTATATGATGTTTGATGACTCATTGATTTTAGCTATTTAATGCTTGATGACTGGCTGATTTTAGCTATATGATGCTTGATGACTGTGACTGAGTTAAAATATATGATGCTTGATGACTCACTGATTTTAGCTATTTAATGCTTGATGACTGTGGCTGATTTTAGCTATATGATGCTTGATGACTGTGACTGAGTTTAGTTATATGATGTTTGATGACTCATTGATTTTAGCTATTTAATGCTTGATGACTGTGGCTGATTTTAGCTATATGATGCTTGATGACTGTGACTGAGTTTAGTTATATGATGTTTGATGACTCACTGATTTTAGCTATTTAATGCTTGATGACTGTGGCTGATTTTAGCTATATGATGCTTGATGACTGTGACTGAGTTTAGTTATATGATGTTTGATGACTGTGACTGATTTTAGCTGTATGATGCATGAAGACATCTTCCCGGGGCAAGGGAGTTATAAAAGGGGCTATGAAAGCCCATTTTCCACTCTTGGAAATTTCTTGAAATTTCGTGGCTATTACGAGTTCTGTCCCTTATATGTCCTTCTTATTGACCAATCAGATTCCTCCTCTCATAGTACTTGTATTTGCTTCAAACAAAAGACGATCTTAATATTTAATCAAGATCTATATTGGAATAAAGCGGTTCTGACCTCGCGAAGTGCAAGAGATCACTAAAACCGGAACAGATTTGCAAAATATATGTCGACGTCCAGCTGACGGTACACATGCTCTGCAAATCCTGCAATCGCCCGAAATCTGCACGGCAGTCGCCATGTAGTTTTTTAACCGGATGTCGATTTGACTGTGCATAGATGCATTAGTCCAGCCAAAAAATAACTCCATACTTCAAGCCTAGTTCGCCTAGGGTGGAAATTGGAGTTTACAGTCCGTTCACTCCCTTGCCTCGGGAAGATGGTATGAAGACTATGACTGATTTTAGCTATGTGATTCAATCAGTCTGTTTGGATAGATGAAGACTGTAGGTGGTGGACCTTCTTGGGATCAGGGGTCACAGGGAGCAGAGAGCAAATCGACCAAACACAGAACGCCGTGTTTCGTGGAAAAGACAACCTACATCATTATGTACATTTTTTAAAAATACGTCGTCCTCATGCATGGTTTATTCATTTAGTTTAACAAACAAATAATGTAAATTATGTATATACCCTTCGAACAAAGAATACTATCAATATTAGGTTGAAAGGTGGGATACAAAACCTTACATTTCTCTAATGAACCAAGACGTATGATGTAAAGATTGAGAATTGAAGTATTTCTGTATTTCCGATTCGTGCACCGTTTCTAACAGCAATAACTGGAATTGATTCCTCAAGCCAATAGATTTGGCCGGACTGCTTTCTGAAAGACCACTTTGACAAATGTTGTGATGGGTTGAAATTAAAACTTTTAACTAAACTATTGTGCTGTAGGGACGTTATATGTAAAGACAGATCTAGTATGGAAGCTGGGTAAGTTGTGCAGTACATTCTACAGGCTATGAGCAACCATGTGGTTTCAGTACACGTCATGTAATGCTCATAGAAGGCGCATGGGCCGGCGGAAGAAGTGGGTCGCGGTGCCTGGCCAAAGTACGAGATGAGAGGAAGAGGGCAGTATCGGCTGAAACACACATAAAATATCAACATTCTGCAAAAGACGTAAAGCGAAGAATGTTGTTTCAATTCAGACTGTATAGTGTCTTTACATTTGTGGAAGATAACTGAGTTTAATCTTCTGACATTGGTGATAAACATGACTTTACAGAGAAACGATATGTATACAGTTTTCTACGGTTAAGCGCATAAAACATATTTTCGGAAGTTTAACGTGTGCCTTTATTATTCCTGACCGCTTCACAACATTGTTTTCACTCCGTTTGTTTGTTTGTTTTGTTTGTTTGTTGTTTAACGCCGCACTCAGCAATATTCCAGCTAAATGACGGCGGTCTGTAAATAATCGAGTCTGGGCCAGATAATCCAGTGATTGGCATCATGAGCATAGATCCACGCAATTGGGATACGATGACATGCATCAACCAAGTCAGCGAGCCTGACCACCAGATCCCGTTAGTCGACTCTTGCGACAAGTATAGTCACCTATTATGGCAAGCATGGGTTTCTGAAGACCTATTCTACCCCGGATCTTCACGGGTGTTTCACTCCGTGCTTCTACTTCGTGCATACACGTAGGTTGATCACCGAGTGTCCTCCCAGGATTGATGAACCCCATTAGGGTAGGACTAGGCGGAGTGATATTAATCAACATTATCCTCTCGTGGTGGATATATATATTCAGTTAAACTGGCCCCCCGTGGCATGACGCCGATTATATTAGTTCCATGATAGCGTGAAGTGATAGGGTGTCTCTCTTGGGAACCTACAGCCATACCATGGAATGAATGAGTGAGTGAATGTTGTATTACTCCGCAAGACGCAGTGTTCCAACTTTATAACCGCGGCCCGGATTTATCCGGGTCTAGCACGTTAACTACCCACACTGTAGGGTACGCTGACACGCATTCAATAAGTGCACCTACTCCCATGAAACGCATGGCAGGTTAGAATAGGCCTTCAACAACACATGCTTGTCGTAAAGGGCGACTAACGGGATAGGGTGGTCAGGCTCGCTGACTTGGTTGATGCATGTCATCGTATCCCGTTTGATGCACATGATGTCAATCACTGGATTGTCTGGTTCAGACTTGATTATGTAGCGACCACCGTCATAATGCTAGAATAATGCTGAGTGCGGCGTTAAAAACAAACAAACCAATGTGATAACCATACCGTATCGAGGAGATCGTGTAAGAAATATTGTAACCAGGTGGGGATCGAACCCAGAACACGTTTGTGTTGAGTTAAACTCAACCCAACCCAATACTGCCCCGGCCGTAAGATAGAGATGATGATACATCGGTTGTCATGGTTATTGTAGGTCTGTCACGACAACTTGTAATGAGAGTAGCTTTAATAAAACATCACAGTATGGCTTAATTGTTCACATGGGAA